CATGCACAAGCATCTATATTAGGGAGCTGCGTTTTTTTTCCTCGGCTGAAACGCGGAAACCTGTATAAATCGTGTCAACGGTTGCGCAGATGAGTTGAAAAAACAGGTAAATATACAGAATGGATTTTTGGAAATAGCCTCAGCGAATATGCTCAAAAAAGGCATCCCTTATTAGCTTATTCTGGAAGAGCGTCAGAGTGTAATGACATGTTCCTGCTGCTATCTATTCACTTGCAGATCATCATTTCGACAATATATTCTCTATGCAGTATGGACGTCGCTAAGAACTCGACGGTCATAGAAGTGCCTGGGCCCGACAATCAGAACATATTGTTCGTGGCTTACTGCGTCATAGGTCCGATTATCATAGTCGTCGGTGTCATCGGCAACAGCCTGACACTCATCACCCTCAACAACACGGTCAGGTGCAATAGCATGACTTACGTTTACATTAAATGGTTGGCTGTCACCGACATCTGCGCGCTGCTCAGCGCCATCCCGATGGACATTAGGCTCGGCACGCCGCACAGGAAACTCCCGTACTGGATAGCCGTCTTCCAAGCACATGTCGAAATTCCGATGCTCAACTTCTTCATGGGTTCCAGCATCTTCATCGTCATCTTTCTGACCAGAGTGAGTGTAAATAATGAATATGCGGTATTCTTCGAAAAAACGAAATTTCTTATATTTGTCATTTAAAGTCTGTGCTCCTATCCCGCAAATATCGATGAATGTATTTCCCATGTGAACCCTTATTCTTCCGACGAGGACTCGTTTTCATTCACCTTCAGCTGAGAATACGTACTGAAGAAAAATGGTTTCGGTAAAACACGTCAACTGAGACGAACTGAAAAAAAAAACGCTAAGCACCAGCATTGATGTGTTCTATGTTTATAAAGATAATAAAATTAAAATTTTTGTATATGCTAGAAAAATCCATATTTGGCTGCTGATGCTGGGATGTTTGTGATTACTGTACGTTAAATAATTATGCTGATAATAAAATAATACTAATGATTACATCAGTTACGATGTCAATTATATTTTTATGATTCGGTCATCGTTTGTCATTTTAAAAACGCTGGTTTTCTGCACACGATTTTAGCGACATGTTAGCGACTAAAACGTTATGGCTTTCCAGTCATCACCGCTCATGCGCCGCGAGGATCAACTGCAGGGCATCAAGAGTTAAATTTTACTGCTGTTTTCCAGCAAAACTTACGATTTTTTGAAGACCAAGTCTGGTAAATAAAATTCCACATTGATATGCCCTCATGATTAATTTTTCACATTTTTATGCTTGATCGTTTTATTGCATTGGTATGACCACCACGGTACAACCCAAACATACATAGATATACTGTATATATATACTGTACTGTATATATTCAACATTTAGAATTGAAGCAGTTTTTTCCTGGAATAAAAATCATAGGAGTCATTGGAAATATATATACCATATTCCCATATGATTCCTATGATATTTATTCCTGAAAAAAAGTGCTTCAATTCTAAATTTTTAATCATCATTCACTTCAGTTTTTTCAAAATTTCAAAAGTACTGCTGCATTTCAATTTTTTGTGTTTCTTCCCAGTACTTTTGAAATTTCAAAACAATTGAATGATTCAAAAAAACTGAAATGAACAATGATTAAAAATTTAGAATTGAAGCACTTTTTTCCAGGAATAAATATCATAGGAATCATACGGGAATATGGTATGTATATTTCCAATGACTCCTATGATTTTTATTCCAGGAAAAAATTGCTTCAGTTCTAAATGTTGAATATATACAGTAAAATATATATATATATATATATATATATATATATTTATTTATACATATATATATATGTATGTATGTTTGGGTTGTACTGTACCGTGGTGGTCATAAAAAATGATTAAAAATTTAGAACTGAAGCACTTTTTTTCTGGAATAAAAATCATAGGAATCATTGGGAATCAGGGATGAACTGTGTGCAGCAGGGAGAAAACTCCAGCGACAAAATATGGACAGCATCTAACACTGCTTCGACTACTGTCTGGTTATCTTGCCTTATTCAGACCTTGAGGCAGAAAAAGGAAAAAATTTAAACAGAAGTCTCCTAAAATCTCACGGTAATAAGAAACATATCACACAAAGAAACCAGGTTTTGGATGATTATTTTTTTAAGGGAAAATAAAAGATAATTGGAAATTAAAAATTGCTTTTGGAAAAATGCAAAAAGGACATGGATCTTTATTTATGGCAAACAAAATAATCATTGCAAATTTTTGAAAATTACAGAAAATTTAGGAATATTGTTCTGAAAACCATAAATAAATTTCCATTTTTATAGCATGAATAGTTTTTAACAGTATTTGCTGTGGATGGAAAAACCTTGCCAAAACTGGGAAGATTTCATTTATTGTCTTGCAGTAAATCCGATTTTTTTTAATCTGAAGAAAATCCCAGAACCTTGAAATAGGATGGGCTGGATAATTTTTTTTTTTTTCAAATTGGTATACCTAGTCTAGAAATATCCAAGGTCAATCATAATGGGACAATCCTTGTATTTATCTAAATACTGCACCACATCATCAGCTTAAACTTTGTGGCTTTTATTAATTGGAATTTCATGTTTTATTCTTATAGTATTATTACTTTGCATATCTGTCTTTCAGGATGAAGTGCTAAAGAAAGACTGCGTGTGTCTGCTGGAAAATATACCAGCATTGCGCTGCATGACCTGTACCGCTTTTCTTATTAACATCATATTCATGAAGCACTGTCCATGGCAGCAATACTGTATAACCTTTTTGTACAGCCTTCAAAACAAGGAACAGCATCTTTTTGTGTATTGCAGTACAGTACTTTATTCGGAAATCACTGTCGTATGTCTCTTATTCGACCATAAATAAGCTCTCTTCATAGCCGTCGTGTGAAAAGAAAAATCATGCAGCCATTATTTACTGTACTGCAATGTCATCAACAGTATCTACAAAATACATACAGTATGAACAGGACAGTCAAAAAATACTGCTTCCCTGCACTGAAAACGCATACGTGCATGTAGACATAGAGCAGAATTTTTTGTACTTCATTCATATCAACTCTAAGGTAACTTATTATGGTCCAATAACCTAAAATAAATTTCTTTCATTTCCCCATTGCATGCTTGTAATAATAAATAGAATAAAGCGAAAGTCTAATATATTAGTATATCTACTCTTTAATATAAATGAATTTCACGGATTTTTTCCGTTGATTATTTTTATTAGGGTTCTGGCACATTTTGCCTTGTTGCTCGAAAACGTTCCAGAGATATCTTCGTTCAAAAATCTATTGATATTTTCCCATGATTACATACCGCTGTATATAGATTCGGCCTGAAATCGATTTTGACTCATTTTTACTCAAGGATCGATTCATATCCATGTGCTATCCGATGACATACTGGACGATGCGCCACAACAGGACACCAAAAATTTGGGCCATGCTGTGCTTCGCATTTGCCTTCGTGCTGAACGCACCGCTCACGGTACTTAAAGAAGTCTGCACCAGCGAGGACGACCTCTTCGAACCAAAGGAGAACACGGAAATAACGCACACGACGCCATGGAAAGTCTACATCTACGCATCAGAAGGCATCATGCGCATCGCTCCCATCATAATGCTGACCACCATGAACATTTTGATCATAAGGCGGTTTTATAACTGGAAAGCAAACCGGAACAATATCTTCAGTCAAAAAACCAGGGAGACAGAGACGAAAAGTGCTCATCGTCTCGGTGGACTCAACCACGCAGAAGAGCGTTTGATGCTCGGGTTGCTCTCTATTATCGTGTTCTTGTTCGTCATTCTGAATTTCCCATCAGCTATCTTATCAGTGTTGTACGCTGAATCCAGGGAGAGTTCTCGTGCATTCCAGATATTCCGCGCTTGCGCCAATAATTTCGAGCTCGCAAATTTGGCGGTAAATTTTTTCGCGTACTGTGTGGTTGTTCCAGACTTCCGTAAGGCATTTCTGGAAGTAATCCTGGGTTATTCGGCAACTGAGGAACGCTTAACCGAGAGGCTTCGAAGGAGGGCTGAACATGACGAGGACCCGGCTTCGCAAAATTCCGTTCCTCGACGCATTATCACGAGGGAAGCGTCCTTACCTCAAATCGTTGAGAGCAGCCTCGATGAAAATCCATCCAGTTGCACGGTAGAAGTGCACCGAGAAGACGCTTAGAATCTGCTTTGTGTCATTGCGCGAGTAGTACTTCATCGCGAATATTATGCACCGTCGGAGTGTCACACCGGCAACGACGTTGTCAAGGAATGACTACATCAGAGCTTCAATTCAGTATTCAACGACGGCTAAGCTTCCTCCTCCAGAGAGCAGCGGATGACAAATTTTACAAGAAGCTTTTGTGATAGGATTTCCCACAAGTACAATCGATGGACATGCGACTGATAAAAATGCTGTCAGACACGAGAACCTAGGGAGGGCAATTTCCAATTGTTCCTAGCATCTGCCGAAATGACACTGCTGCTGCCCTATGAAAAGATCTCATCATAATATGTTTTAATACCTATACTTGAGTGAACTTCGCATGTACGTCTCCACACGATAATGACGAATCAATGATGTACAACCGCATGTGCCACACAGTTTTGACTGAAGTCGAAGCGGCATTCGTATCGAAGCAGGACATTTTCGTCCAGGAAGTGCAGGAGGGACATTCCTGAATTTTCAGATTTTTCAAGTCAAATTGGAATCGAATGAAAGTTGGGTAATAGCTCTGAGTGTGTTGAACAGGATCCTCGGCGATACGTGGTAAGTGCTTAGCACAGAAACGGACATCGCCTCTCGCATTTTCAACAGTTCGCGGTCTTGATGGAATCATAAAGCTTCTAAAAATACTAGAAAAAATGAAGGTGATGATTGATGAGATCGATCTGCAAAATAACCAGATAGATTCACAAGGTAGTTTCGAAGATAGCAAGAAATTAAACTTTTGTGCAACAGCCATCAATGCCGAATTTTCTTCTTTTATTTGCGGAGGCAGAACACTGGACAAATAAATTTCATTATAAATTCAGGAACTTCGCACGTCCCGGCTAACAGATCGTACGGTGGGCACATTCAAGAACTTTGATCAGGGAAAATACAGTGCCACAACTCGTGTACATACTTATACTGATGAAAACAGACGTTTCATGCAAAAAACAAAAACAAAAAACAGCGCGGGATTTAAGCCGATTGTACGTATGAATCGGGGCAGCATCAGATTCACTGAAAACCAATTGCATTAGCACCAACTGTTCGGTTAAATTACATTCACACAAGCCCATGAACGCGATTAACTCGCCTAACACTGTCGGAGCTATCAACACGGGTTCATGAAAACAAATCAACGAGAAATGCGGAGCTCGGCTTGAAAAAATAACGGTATCAACCGGCTCAGCAACACCATAGTTTAGGAAGAGTAGCTTATCACCGTATTTCTCCATCTCTTTCGAAACAATCCCTTGTTGAAAAATAATCCTTATCACACTTGCAACTCACCACGTGTTCCGGTGGAAATATAAAATTGCGCGGGCAGGGGTGGCTGCCATGGAAGCACACCTTCCACATGCAAGACCACAGTTTCCTCAGGTCAACGAGTCGGATAAGTATCTCGTGTAAAATTCTCTGTGATCACACTGACTGGAGGAGCAATCGAACGGAAGAGAGCCGGGCTGGATTCGACCGTTTGCTGATCGACCGCAAGTTTAAGCTTCGTCTTCGCCTTTTTTTTTTTGAGCATTGCGATGTCAGCTGATACTCAGCACCGTTGTACAGCAATCAATAAAGCGCGAAAAAATGCAAACCACTTAAATTCAGCCAAGCAGATCTATGAGATAAAAAAAACTTCGCTCCCACGGAGCACTGAACATCGCCATAGCGTTTGGGCACGCGCGGCGCCATCACGAAGGAAAACATTCTTGGAACAGGTAGTCCATCACGCTATCAACACATAAAAAATATAACCTACAATCAATCGATGTCCACGTGCGTCATAGGAGAGAACGTCACGCTTGGTCTCGCCGCATGAGGCAATCATTAGAAACGGACGTCACTACGTTCGTTGCAGTAGTTCTTCACACAAAAATCGCGTCGTCCTCAAACGTTTTCGACGCGAAAGAGCGATCTGGTTTACTGTCCGGCGAGCTCATGGTTTTTATCACAAGTCGTCGGGCCAGTGGAAGTTGGAGAGCGCCTGAGGCGGCGTCGGCAGATCTCCTCGCCGACTGTGATCGGTTCCCATGATTCTCTTCGCCATTCCGGATCTGCCCATCTTCTGCAAATGTTCTCCGAATGAGCATTCATAAAATACGACAAGGCCAGATCAATCAGACACCAGAACGATCACGCTTTTAAGTAGGCAATAGAGTTCCGGGAAACCAAGCGATAGACACATTCGCCACGCGGAAAAAGACAACAGCGAGCAAGAGTGTTCAGGATGGACTGGTTTGTTTCAGCCCAGGACTCGGTCGTCTCGAGCTAGTATTCCCCTGAATCCACAAATCCACAGACCATTCGTCAGAATCAGTGTCTTCGAATGTCTCTCCCAACATGTTCACAATATCCCTTAACCAGGAGGTGCCTGTCGGTGGAATGCCACAGGAAACACCAAGAGTGAGGTATAGAAATAAAACCCGGACCCATGCAAGCCATTAAGCGAAAAAGCTCCGTAACCAAAGCATAAGATACATTATATCCATCACTCTCACCTCCAGAACTCTCAAAATGGCGGAGGACACTATCTGATGAGGCATCCAAGTCGTCCAACGAACCAGATCGCGAAATATTGGCTGATGTAAGGAAATCAAATTCATCCTCTTCCATTCCTTGACTGGAATCTCCCACTCCCACCTAAGAATCAAACCAACGATCACTTCGGGAAGTCGACACAAGCCAACGATCCAGAAATTCTTCCGAAAAACTGGCGCTAGTTTCTGACTTAGTTGCCTCACAAAATCTACGCCGTATGAAATTAAATATAAAAATTTACCTAACTTGGTTACGTGAGCCAGAAAGATTCGACATAAATCGACTACTTTCGTGACCACCCATTACTCCACGAGTCACCCCTAGAAGAAGTCGGGGAGGTTAAATTACGTACCGGAAGAGAAGGCAAATAGTCGGCCAACTGAGCTTTCCCAGCTTCAAGAAGTGGAATCATTGCTTGCTGCGGTCCGGAGGATGATCCAGAGGCAAGCGCACTTTGACAAGCAGAATCCAGTACTTTATAATCCGCTAAAGTGGTCGTGATCTTCTTCATTTGCTGTTCAATAATGATCTGCACGCAGCTGGTTTGACGTCCAACGGCCTTCAACGCATCTTGAGCTTGCTCGTCTTCACCCGTACGTAGTATGCAAGGTGCGAATACAATTGCTAGGGCATTCGCGTTCATTCTACCGAAGAAAATCTAGTGAAGAAAAGCTTACCAGAAAAAAGGTCTGCATAAAACGAACCTATTGGAATCTTCTTGCATTGCGACGCGAGCGAGATGATAAATGAGTCGCTCGAGCAACTGGAAATTTTCTCTCGGTAGCTTGTTGTGAATCGTCTGGAATATAGCGTTTACTTTATCCACATGGTCGTGAATTTCAGAAGCGAGGATGAAATCTTGATAGGCGTCGAAAGTGAGCAATGGCTCAGGCAATTCTCTCAGAAATTCTTTGAAAACGGACGCCAAAGCATGCGGATTACTGCTGTTGAGGTCAGCCTTTTCTCCTTCCTTTTCCAATAAACTACGAACCTTCCGTTTCTGAGAGGCGGCACCTAAAATTGAGGAAATTTATAATAGAAGTAATGAAAATGTCAACAACTTTCAAGTCACTTCCCGGAGTAAAATTCCTGAAACAACTCACCTGATTTACGATAAATGCCTTCGGAAAAAATTCCATGAACTTCGATCGCGGTGATGAGCTTGTCGATGACGGGCGGGATTTTCTGACCATGTTGTACCAACTGACACAACGGGCGTCCAAACAATCGACTTTTAGACACTTCCACAGCTTCCGGTTTTCTACGCTGAAATAATCCGCCATTCTTCTGACATTCGTTTGGGATTTTGCACAAGCACTTCATGTGACAAGTCAACTTGCAACCTGAAAAATTTAAAAATTATTCCATGATCCATCCGTAAGAGCGGCCAGAGGACGACAGAACTTGTCAACAACGCCAATCAACTCACCTCGACAAAGAAGCGATTTTTCACGCATCCACATGAAGTTACTGCAAACTTCACAGGCTGTCGGAACGTTGATGTCTACTTTATCCAAGAAGTGCTTGCCCTGACAGATAGGATCTTCGTCAATCAGTCGGCGACGACGGTTCCGTTTCGCCTCGTCACGCTTTTCCACAGCGCGGTCTTTATCTGCAGGAGTGCCTCTCCGCTTCTTTTTGCTGTCACGCTCCTCTTCCCGAAGCATCAGCTGAAACTCGTCAAGGAAACCACGGAACGCGTTTACCGCCATTGTCACCGGGAAATCCTCGAAATCTGCTTCTTCTTTCCCGCTGACTTCCTTGTAGGTCTTTTTCAACACCTTTCATACAAGAAAAGGAAATCAGCACTTGCCAAAAGTCACACTTTCGCAAGACTCACATCTTCGAACATTCGAATCAAGTGTCGGTATTGAATGTGAAGACTGCTTTCGACCGCTGAATACGTCTGCATCAGGTGAGAATTGAACTGCACAAGTGCATCCTTGAACACTTGATCGGCGACGCCACCAGACGATTTCCGTTCTGCGTCCTTCATCGAAACTTCACAAATTTTTCTCGAAAGAAACTCCTCCATTTTTCGAAGCTCGGCGACACCGGGAATGATTTCATCGACGCGATCGGTGAACTCCGATGTACCGGTTAAATTCCAACCGGTAGATTTATCTGGACCTTTAATGGAAGGCTTACGAAGTTTGCGGCCCAGACTGAGATTTGTTACGGCCGGCGACGCGCCCATTGGTTCATCGCTCACTTCCGACACTGGGAGTGGATACATTCCGGTGCTACGTAGCCCTCGATGACACACGGCTTTTTTCGCGTCATCCCGGCATTTGGAGTGGAACACTGATTGGCAGCACGAACACTTGTACGTTTGCACGAAGATTGAGATGGTTTTCTGACAAGAAGCACAAATTTCCCCCTTCTGAAATTTGTGCTCTTGACGGGTGAGTGAATGCTTGGGTCCCACGTCGATTCTCACGGGAGGAAGATCACCTACAAGTCGTTCGCGGGTGGGACGAGAAATCCAGTCTCCCGGCACCGGAGAACGTTCTACCATTGGGCAAAGCTCACTCGATACTGGAACAGGGCACTCCAAAACACTCCCGCTCCCACGCCGAACGCTGCCCTTATCCGATTGGCGCTCCAGGGCTGCTTTTAGATTTTCCTCCCCTAGGCTACCATTACGGGGACGTTGCCGAGCTGCGATGGTTTTCTTTCGCTCTTCGCGGCGCTCCTCTCTGGTACGTAATTCCTTCGATTCCGCGCTGTCCATAGGAAGAGAGCTTCGTGGGCTGAACATACCCCGAGGTGGAGCCGTTTCGCTTTCAGTGCGCGTGCGAACTGAATAGCTGATCCCGGGTTCGCTGGACAATGATCCTGAAATCGTTGGAACATAAACACACGTCGATGACGCATTAGATCAATCCGCAACAAATAAATATACTGTACTGTATTCTCAATACACGACTTGTTTCATTGTTCATGATCTAGATTAGATTCTACAATGTCTGAATCACGGCACATAACGTTTCACGATACGAACGCTCGATCACATAAGATTCCCATCCTTCAACCAGTCCCGGACCTACTGTAATTAATTGTGTAATACGCGCCCGAATGGAAGACGGGTGCTTTACTTTACTGTGAGAAAGATAAGCGAACTGATATTCCTTTAAATGACAGAATATGCGTATGCGCGGAGTGTTCTAGCTTCTTTAATTTCAAAATTTCAATGTAATATGGAATAAATAAGGTGCTTTGTATACTTTTCATAAATCTGAAAACAAGAATAGATGTCGGATGGCTGGCAACAAGCATTACCTCCGGGAGCTCGAATGTAAGTCGATCTCGTCGTCGGAAGATAGGTGGCAGCAAGGTTTGAAATCGATGTGCTCGACGCGGAATGAACTGGCGGATGGTACCGCGCACTGCTAACACTCATCCGCGGGCGTTCTTCGACGGATAACTCTTCCGATTTGGGGAAGCTAACCTTGCCCACCGACGGTGTTGTCGACCTAGAGTCTGGGTAAGTAGATCCGTCCTCCGCATCACTGTACAGATCCGGCGGTTCCTTATCAACACGTTTCGAACCCCCACCCCCAACGATGAACCGCTGAAGACGTCGCGCCATTTTCAATGCTTGATTAACTGACGACGATGTTGAAGGCACTCTAACAGGGATATCGTCACTCTGGATACTGTCCCCACGAGGAGATGAAAGCGTGACCTCACTTTGACCCCCACTATGCTTTCTCAAAGTGCCGTAGCTGCGGGTTGTTTCTGAAGACTCCTCATAGCTAGATTTCCTTGATCCAGCTTCAGCTTTCACGCTCTTGCTCCGACGTAACAACAGTTTCCGTCTTCGAGAAGTTTTATCAAGCTCTGCCTTCGACCGATCCGAGCTATCTCTCAGTCTGCGGGCAATTATCACCACCATGCATTTTAAAATGTCTTGCAAAAATAACGTTTAAGCTAAAACCTAGATTCGCAGGTGTCTTTGTCCATACAATAATCGAATGATTGCACTTCGTGTTTAGATGAATCGAAATACGTCGAATTGAACATTGGAACGGAAATTTCAGTTCTGGTGACGCGTGAACATAGAAGCCAGTTTCTTTTCAAGGATAAATTTATTCTCATGATTTTTAAAAGAACTCTTCGATACAAAATCACGATCAACATTTTGTTACAGCATAATTGTTGTTAGGGTCACCACAACCATGTATGACCTAGTTTTTACTTTTATTGGAAAAACTTTTTCCAATACAAAACTGGGAGTTCCGCAACACGTTCTTCATAAATTAAAAAATATACACGATGCGGCATTTTGTAAAATTGATAGATGCAGGTGCAGTATCATTCGCTAACTATAAGTTCATGTTGAACATGAAAGGAAGGTAGGATTACAGCAAATTTAATTTGTTTTAGGCCTTTCTCCAATACCGTGAATTGAACGGACCGGAGAGAAAACTGAAATTACAAAATGGTACAAAAAACCTCAAAAGAAGATTCAAGCAATAAAATCACGATTAAAAAACACACCTGACTGAAGTCCCACGTTCCAATGTTGGGTACAAAGAGGGTTGGCTTTCGACGATTGGCGACGGAGGCGTGGGAGCAGGAAAATATGGAGAATAGAACGGCTGTGTCGACTGTGCACACGCAGTAATCGAAGATTCGAATCGCCACGAATCTGATTCGCTGACTTCCAGGTTCTCACTACTCAATCTACAAGTATAGGAACGGAAGTTGTCACACATGAATCGAAGAAGTTTTCCATGATCTTGCAACTGGTATAACGCTAACGCACAGGTGATGAGAGAGTACGTTCGCCAACACTACTACCCACTCAATATTAGCCTCTACAACATGTCGGAAGATTTGCCCTATCCAAAATGTAATGTACTGTATCTGCATTTTACCCAACATAGATTCAGACAACGTAACTTTTCCACTAGTTCGAAACTCTGCAATGATTTTTGAACATTAGAAACTCGTGATTGCCTTTCACTTCATAACTGTTTTACGCCCAGTAAGAATTTAACCGACGGTTGTCTCACTCTTGAGAGATGGCATCCCTCGACGGTCGACGCTCAAGCCAGAAGGCATCATCAACTTCGTCCCCAGGGCTGCTTTCCTTCGACAGGTCATCCCTCGACATACGCCTTCTGGTCACGAAATCATCATCACAGACAGCGATCACATCGCTCGACTCAGACTCGAACTCGACCCGAACGCAAGTTGCATGTCGCAAGTCATCTTCATACTTCTCCTCCCCCATGCTCACAGGTTCCGCACGGAAACTGGACCCACGTTTTCGTCGATCTTCCATCATTCGTCGTACTCGTTCTCGGACCGAATTGCCCCGGACAATTGCCTGCAAGGTTTTGATCAGATATTTTCGAACACAATTTCGCCATAAATTTTACCTGGAAGCTGATGCAAGATTGTCGAAGACTTTGATACCAGCGCCGAACGCGGTAACCGCGCCAAAAGCTTTGGATAAAAACTGCAGCCAAGCGGCGCTTCTTCAACTGACTCAAAAGTCGCTGCGCCAACCAGCATCGGAACTAGACACAGTTATACAGTTAAAAGACATTTTTTAGCCAATACATCAACAAGAATGTGTTCAGTTTACCTGAGCTTGAATCCTTACAGCAGCATCTCGAAAACGTAAAAAATTATTACGCTGGATACGCGTTCGCACCCAACGCTGGATTGTCACAATTCTTTTGATTATTTCCAAATGCAGTCGACAGTCTAATTTCTCCTTTTCGCTCTCCCGAAGAAATATTTTTGTGATTCCCACTTGATAGTGATCCGGATCAAGTTTCGCGGAGAGCAGGAATTCTTCAACATCTTCTCTCGAGCTATAAAGAAAGTGAAACCATTCTTGGTCTTAATCCGCACAACAGCTCCAGGAGTTGGGGTTTTCTTCCATGCACCAACCTGTGCAAACCGTTCACGAGGAGAATTCTGTAGTGATGTTTAAAATCTTCAAAAGTCAGCCGCACGTTGTAACCAGCGCGACGAATTCGAACTGTCTCCAACATGCCCGTATACCGCAACTGACGCTGAATAATGGTATCATCGAATTTCCCCGGCACCTGGAGAAAAAAAAAAAAAAAAAAAAAAACACACAAGAGAAAACATCGTTGGTTATTCACAACATCCGGATTAAACCAAGAAATAATCTTTGTCACCTTTTCAGCATTCGACTTGATGCAACGGATGAAAAACGGATGGGCTTCATTCAAAGCAACCATCAGTGTGTTCAATGATGCCTGGAACTGCGCGGTTACAGTAGCGGCATGCTTCTTCGGTCGACTTCCAGCCTTTTCCACAACTGCGGATGTGGGTCCACGATTCGTCATCAGATTCTTAATGCTCTCGAGGTTTTTCACCGAGCGAGACCTGTTGTAACCTCGTGCTCTCGGCAATTTGCTCCTCCTGAACGACAGCCAAAGTTCCGATTAGTTTCAAGCTAGAGCCTACGATAACGTTGGAATGGATGGATTGTGAATGAATTGCGTTCAAAATTCTATAGAACTGCCAACACCGTGAAACGCTCAACATCACCACCTAAGAAACTTCTTCCCGAAGAAAAAGTCATAGAGAAAGGATCAGAGAAACAAAGCGGTACTTCAATTATTTCATGCACCGCAAAGGGAAGCTGGTGAGATGAAAATAGACCGACACCGCTCGTTCATTCCTTTTTCTAGTCTGAAAGCGGCACCTACATCATGATTTCATTCGCTCTTTCAAGCATTTGGTACTGCGACGGCGGAATACCAGCACAATTTTCCAAGCTGCTGAGAGGTGGTCGGGAGTCTGGTTTTTTCCGTCGTTCCTCCACTTCCAGGTTCCGGAACATACGCACTTTTTGAAGGAAGTGGGAACTAGGTTCGATAGCTTCCGAAACAGGCTCTTCCACGTTGGAGTCTCTTCTTTCCGGTTTCTTCGGCGACATGGGCTGGCCGTCGGCCATCAAAATCTGATACCTTTTTTGGTTCGAATACCCCCACGCGATATAAATTATTCCAGCATGTAAGGTACAACTACTGCGTTGACTTAGGAATTGGGAGGATTAACGTGGAAAGCAAACGATTAGTTCTCCAAATTGTAATAAAATAACATGAACTACAGGAAATGCAAAAGCAGCACTTTCTTCATAATCAAGGTTTGGCAGACGCACAATTCTGTTCTTTGCACGGTCGAAGGGTAAGGTTCCCGACGCCGGAAATACTGTATTTGATTCCAGAAACGAAGTTTTAAAAAAAACTTACCTCCGATTTGCGAAGTATTGTCCGTTCCGTCTCAGTTGTTGTAAGGATGAGGTTCGATTCGGTTTAACTCGGCTCGCTATAAAGCACAAACAGGTCATTTTACTGAGGAAAACAAAATCCATACTTGAACTAAGAATGAGGCACTTTTTTATATAATTTCAAATTACAGGGACTGCACGGTATACTTGAGCTTTTGCTTGGTATGATTAGCTTCGAGGCATGTTCGAAAACATATGAGAGTAACAGTAATTCCAGGAAATCCAAGAAAACCGAAGATATTCAGCATGACACAGTACAAGAGCATGGCCTTACTATGAAGTGAGGTTGACAAGTAATCGGAAGAACCGACCTGGACGAGATTGATAACGCTTTCCTGCTTCTTGAAAAGCAAAAACAGCCCTAAAAAATGCTCGCAAGATGGCCCAACGAAAAATAGCGACCGGGTCGGTCCCCACAAGCTCCCGCACAAAAGCCAGACGGGATGATTTCAAGACGGAGATCATATCCTGCCGCATCAAATCCAGGTTTTTCTCTCGGAAATCCGACACCTTGGGTAGCATATCAGAGTTAGAAACTTTTAGGAGGAAACGCTCAACAACAAAAAAGTCACGAGACGCGCACCTGGTACTTGACTCGACCGGCGTAGTGGCAGATAATAAAAGCGTTTTCTTTCTTTGCCGGAACTTCGTAGAACTCCGAGTCTTTGTGCACAGTGTTGTATTTTTGTAACACTCTTTCATTTGTCGCCCCCGGAAAGCTTAAAATACAAAAACAATAAATTTCCGTCGTTGAAACATCACACTTCAAGATTTTACTTGCACATGTCGTCCAACAAACACATTAGTCCGTTTGGCCGACCCTCGAAGAGCTGTAAACAGCCGGTGTTGTCTTTGAAAGTTATGTTCTCCCATTGGATACCGTCTCTCTCATATTCTTCCTGTTCGTATTTGAACACGTGCTGATTGAAATAAAACTGAAGATGCTCGTTTGCGAAGTTGATGCACATTTGTTCAAAACTGGAAAACGAGTAAAAATGTTAGCGAAACGAAGGGTTGGTTTTTCGCGGGACTGCACCTGTTCTGATTCCCGAAATCCTCGAAGCCAAAAATATCGAGAACCCCAATAGAATGGCCATGATGCTCTCTAGAAGATTTCGTCAGCAACGCGTGGTTCACATACAGGACCATCCAGTCGAACAAGGCACCATAGAGACACTTTGCCAAAGCATCTCGTGCGCCAACAGCCTTGGATCGAACACAGTTCACATTAATCAGGTACAATAACCATTTTGCAGATTTTTTCGTGTTCCCAATACGACACACGTCGAAAAATGCTTTCTACCTCTTGGCGACATTTTTTGCATTCATGCGACTCTACTACCAAGCTGTTGAAAATACTAAAACAAGAACAGTTGAACTGATTTGACGTGGAATCGTTTATCATTTTTAAAAATAGCAATTCTTCAATATCCACGGTCATTCGTGGATTTCTAGCGGCACGCTCGAAAAATCTCACGGATATTATCTTATGAATCCGAGAAGAATCCAAAACTCACTTCTGGAAATTTATAGGCAATGACTAGAGTTTCTCCCGAAGCACGAGCCTTCTTAGAGGTTAATGCTTGCAGAAGAGTTTCTTCGTGAACTGATAAAAGCTTGGAAATAGATTTAACCAATTCCGGGTTCTTCACTGTCACAGACTCGTCGTGATGATAAGTGGCTTTCCGCGGTTGAAACTCAACGTTCCCTAGAAAGAAAAAAAATAATTTGTAAGCCACACGCATACAATCTCGCCTATTCGCTCGAACCCGGAAACGCAAACTCATTAAGCTTCAAAAATGTTTCCATCCTCGCTTTTCATTGTGACTACTCGATTACAATATTTTCGACGGAATAACCGCGAAATATTAACGAGATTCCCCGAGGACAGTTTCATTCAACCAATGAGTCATATTTCGCTTCAACATGGGACTGCATACAGCCAAACGCAAAATGCGTTTTCATTGAATTTCATCACGAAAAAATTAAATGAGAATGTTGGCACATCAGCGACGTTCTGTAGTAAGAAGTACAAGTAATTCCACAACGAAAGCGTGACCAAGTACAGGATGATACGATCAGTGCATCCTGGGTCACAAGAACTTCCCCTCCGGTGACGCCAATATTATACCCGTCGTGAATTTGAAGCATACCGCTGGATACCCCGTAAGTCAAGAAAGGACCCAAAAGAATTTATAAAGCTGGGCGGAATGTAAAATGGGGAATATAAATAATGCACAGAACGTAGCTAGAACGATACGGCTTTGCAAAATAATGCCAACACGGATATTTGCGCTGTTTTCTCCTGGAATCCGAGCCTCGAGACGTGTTCCTTATTATACTTCGCACACTTTTCTAGGAACTATGGCAGCGTGCCATAACCGCGGGGGTTGCAAGAATGTGCCAAGTGGCTTTTAGTTGGAGAATAGGAGAGAAGATACGTGATGTAGGACCTTCTTCCTTGTACACTCATTTTTTCCCGCGCACATCCACGCTTTGCAACCACGCCCTGACAGTCAAGAATCTTCCCCTCCTGTGCGTTTCGCAAATTAGGTAGCTTGGTTCCTTCACGCCTGGCGCATACGGGAACAAAAAACTACAATTCTGACATTTCTGAACTACTTCAGTTTCTCAAGAGCGAACTCTTGACAACAAAGAATACTTATGGCGAATTCAATCAATACCTACAGAACTGGATGGTTTAAAAAAAACTCTGAACTTCTTCATGGAGAATGAGGCAGATGAAATGAATCCTTACGCAAACGTTTGCTTGTATCTCCCCTATTCAAATTTTAGCTAGATTTTTCCGCATGCCCGTTCTGAAAAAGATGTCAAGCAAGACATTCCTTTTTTGAAGCATGAGACGCATCAAAATAGCATGTCAGTCGTTAAAAAAATTACGCAACTTGAACGACTAGAACACAGATGTTCTTCCCACGCAGGAACCTGACAAAGCGTTCTGCGAATGAGTTAACCTGTCAAGAAATCGAGGTGATATTTTTCTTTTCTACACCTTGCTTCCGAATTTTTCGAGGGTCCGTCATTCCTCGACTCACATTCAAAGCACGGCGAGATTTCGCGCTCGTGTCAACAAGACCACTTTCTGTCCCCCCCGAATGACTAATAACCTTACGCGGGAACTTGATACTCTTCGTCTTGGTATGAAATCTGGCCGCGGTTCTAAACTCGAATACTAGAGAAGACACCACGGGGACGCCGAATCATTAGAGCCTTCTTGATTATTGACCGGCTGTTTATTCGAGCTCTTGGCAGCAGAAGACCAAGTCGTTCTACGAATTGAATTATTGGGATCCTTTTCCTGTTTATGCTTACACGCAGTTTAGCCGATATAGATTACTGGACCATGAGTGAAAAATCAAATAACGATAAGTCCTGTTAAAACTAAAGGTATCTCGAAGAAAGTTGAAAAATAAGTAAATGATGCCATATTTCATTATTCCGGGATGCTATTGTGCAATGAATCCCATTTTTCCAAGAACCCAATTAAAATTTGAAAAACTCACCGAGAAGAAGGACAGCAGAAAGAACAGAGAACAGTTTATGCTGTCGGTCTTTCGGGAATCCAACCATCTCCATCGACTCTTTGAGCCTCTGAAACTCGTGCGCCTCGTCCACACCATCAATTTTGTAGCATTGGCTCTAGTTTTCCACGAGGGAATGCCGACACAAATGCGTGAACCATCAGCCAAGAATTTTTCATAGTCAACTGTAGACGTGGGACGTTTAACTCACCTGCGCAAGGTAGTGATAATCTTCAGGGGCCATCAGATACAACGACTCGCGCTCCTCTGGCGTGGCGCCTGACAACAAGTAGTAGAAAACATGATAGCTCCGCTCATTTTGAGCCTGGAAACACACCCGGCTTTTCTCAAGTAAATATTTCTGAACGATGGCCCTGCGAACGGAAAGCGGAGAACCTCAACGGCTGGCACTCACACCTCCACAAGATGCACATTACTCACCCATGAACTTGACCATTCTCCTTGTAATTCACCTGAATGAATTTCCCGAATCTACTCGAATTGTTGTTGTGTTGTGTTTTAGCATTACCAAAAGCTTCGAGAACAGGACCAGCGACAAGTATCGTTTGCTCCACGCCTGAACCGTGGATGCCTTTTGATGACAACGCCGTAAGGTGGTGCAGAAGGAAATTGGTAGATTCCGTCTTGCCGGAGCCGGACTCTCCGGAAATCACTATGCATTGGTTTCGTCGTTCGACCAACATTGAATGGTACGCTGCATCCGCCACCGCAAAAATATGCGGAGGCAGATCTCCGAGTCTTCGATTTTGGTACAATTTTACATACTGCAAAATTAATCGAGCGATAAATGCAGGGCGTCGACTGAGTAAAGCTGGAGGACCACAAGTCTTATAGAAATCCATACAAACAAAAATTAAACTCATTGACGCACTCACCAACTTGAACGTTACATAAGGGATAAATAAAATTCATTCAACGAATTTATAATGCTTCCATTATGAATGCCTTGAAGCGAGGAAAGTTAATTTTTTCCACATGGACAGATTCAGTTTTTTGAAATTCGTCCCTGTAACTTCCTTATCTGTAAACTTCAAATTTGATCACGCACAGTACTTCGAGCCGAGGATTTTAACCATCATATAACAAACTGGATCACGAGAACGAAGTTATACTTGAACGAATGACCAGGTTTTCGCAGCAGCAATATACATTTTTAGCTATGCGTAGGAAATTTGACGACGCGGCTTTATATTGTTTTTCTATTGCAACAGCATGAACACGGAGCTTGCCATGTCTCTCTATAAATCAAGTTTTTCTTTACTCGGACTAATAAACGTAGAACAAACCTTTGGATTATAAATCGGGAAGAATTTGAAAGGATTGACGGCGATGAGAATGGATCCCACGTAAGTATAGATTCGCTCCGCTTGGAAACGAATCCGCAAATTTTCCAGCAATGTCCCTTCATTCAAATCACTCAGCTGACAAAGATCTGGATACTCTTTGTTTTCTGCCCGTTTATACAGGAATCGATAGAAGTAGTCTTTGATAAGCGCAGGGTCTGACATCAGGCATTCCGTCCACATTCCTTCTATATGCCGTTCTTTCAGGCAAAAGCGGTTTTCTTGGCTTCCCTGCGAAAAAAATATCGAGGCAGTATAGTTCAAGCAACCGGATGAACAAAGTGTTATCTTCGTCCAACTTACGAACGTTCATCCCTACTACAAGATCCCGAAGAAGATCGTTTAAAATGCATTTTCTTGAAAGATAAAAAAATATGGTTCCTGAGATATCGCAACCAACAGCAACATTAACGGAAAACAGATGAGGAATTCCATAGGAACGAAGCAAACCCTGATTCTTTGCTTTTCGTGACTTTAAATCTCAAGATCAAGAACATTTCAGTTATTAACACGTTTCACGCGATAAACACCATGATACTAATTTTCAGGCTTGTACATATTGCGTGGAATTATACGATTCGATCTCGTAAAAAAGAATTTTAAATACAGAAATAAATCTGATCGTCTCAAATTTAAACAAGATTATGTACTGATAAATTGTTAAACTGACATGAGTTGAATTATACCGTAATTCCAATCACTTGGAATCTTTCAGATAACTGAAGAACAATATATCCAAATGACCAACAAACCGCAAATTCATTAGGACAATAACGTATTCAAAGACCCGAAAAAGCATGATTGGATGGTAAAAAGGCTGAGCGTTACAGTACTATACATAATTTTCCAGGGAAGAAAAGACAATGATCACGTATCGACTGCGAGAGGTACAGAAGGATTTTCTTTGTAAGACAGAGAAAAAAATACAAAATATAGGAACGTACAGCTTTCGGCCACCGCATTTGCAGCGCAACAGGCAGCTCGTGTGATGCCAGACGACGCTCTCGGACTTCCTTGCATTCTTGGCCGATCCGAGTGCAGACGACCTCTGCAATCTCGTAACAAGGAACGTGTCCGACTGCACCGGCTTCGATCACGCAGGGCAACTCCAGTTTCGCGCAAACGCACCGGACGATCTCTTCCGCCGTCGTGCCTGAGAAGACATTAATCCACAAGGACATGAGAATTCAGAACGAGAATCCTCAGCATCTTGTACTGTTTTGCTTTGACGTCAAGCACGTCTTAGGCGATAGTTTACCGAAGTGTGATAACGGGGTAAACAGATGCACAGGCGAGGGAAGGAACTTTGAACAGAGACATTACTTTTTTGTTTAAATTAACGGACCGGGCGCCGGCGTTGAAGAAAAACAGGACTTCAACCCAGTTCACTCTTTCAGAAGATTCATTCAGAGTTTATCTGATGGATATTCGCAAGCTCCAGGAAAGAAAGAGGCTGATCACTCTCTCTGAAAAAATCTTAAATTAAGTCGAGGGCCTAGTGAATCGACCCCGAAAGGAATCCCGCGAGATATTCAAAGTTTCTTGGCACGGAAGCTCAAGAAAACGCACTTACATTGAATGGAATGAAAATTTCCAGGAGACATTTGGCTAAAGGAGTTCATATAGTCTTTGGCCATAAAAACATTTCTATGAAGTTCGTCAATATATCGAAGAGAATAGCAAAAAATGTGTACCGCAAGCCATTCCGCTCGGACAAACCAAGAATAGGTTCGGTTTTTCGGCGCCGAAAATAAAAAAGCGAAGAAAATCAAAATAAACTCGATTAACGATAGAAAAGATGACATTTCGACAAGTATAGTAAATATTATCGAACAGGAGTGTCTTTCGACACTGAAATTCCGGGATGAGGATCGTTGTGATGCATAAATTCCGTAATGGTAACAATGAAAACTGCTGTTTACATTCGAAGAAAAATTGGTGAATATGCTATAGATATGACTAAAAGATCGACAGAACCTAGTGACGAAAATTCTGGAAAAAAATTGTTTCCCGGGCGGAGTTCTAAAGGCACATTCCAAGAAAAAAGCGTCCCTGACGGAGGACTGTCATTCTCCGAGCAATCTAACCAAGGTTACGACGAAAGTCAACACTGCCAGGAAGCCTACTCTGTTATCGCTAGTGTGACACAAGTTCCACGTTGAAAACACATACCAGCATATTTTAACTCACTCTGATAACCGAATACAAAACATACGACTTTCGATTTAAATTCTCATGCGAAATCTACCGATAACTTCTGTACGTTGGGAGAGGTAGTCACGACAAACACAAAGGATAAAATCAACCAGCATTGATTGAATGCATTAAATCAGCGTCACGTCTCAATATTGTCTTTCTGAAGTTAACCATATAAGACGACTATGGGAAAATCGAATTTTTACTTGTTCACGCACAAACGCCAGATATTATAAGACCTAACTACCGCTGCTCAACATTCTGTCTTGAAAGAGCACTTCCAAAATGGTTTGATTTGGAATTACAGTATTCCCATTTCAAACAATTATTATGTCAGGGAATGGAACATTGTTCGAATAACCTACAGGCTTATCAATTTGATCGAACCAAATACTGTATATACATACGCATCACTCGAGGACTTTAAAGGTAGAAAGTTGCATCGCTGCGGAATGTTGAAAGCTTCCTGGAATACATCTGCCTACCATGGAGGGAATACCCAAGAACTTTCCGCGCAAGACCCGTTGAAACTTGAAATACACAATGGCGATCACAATAATCCTCACGAGGGCTGTTTAACAGAGACCTTTTATCTGATTCCGGCTTACATTCCGTCATGAGCTTCTCAGTCCGCTACAAAAATCTCGTCGGAATCTTACCAGATTTACAACTTCGTCAATTGAAAATTAGGATCATGACCGAACTAGTATAACATGAAGATTTTCCTTCGCGAGAGCCTTTCAATGGCTTCAATAAGACGATACAGTGCAACGTTCGTAAAAGTAATGAATAATAACCTGAAAATGAATCCTCGCTCGAGACATACTGAACTTTCCCACACAACTTCCGGCTACCTGCACTCATTTCTCAGCAGCGAACTTCCTTTCGAACCAACGACGAGGGCTTACATCGATCGAATAAGCGTTCGAGAATACTGAAAATCGAACGATTAAACAGTCTCCGAAGATGACCACGCCTATAGGTTTCCAAAAGCGATCTCACCTTTGGAGGCTTCGACTTCGAGCGCTTCAAACTGTCCACTGAGATGACCGACATGGACAACAACCAAATATCGCGCATTTTCTTCGTCCTCTTCAATTTCGCCGCCAGCGGGGGTGACTTCTTCAGCCTTCTGGCCCCGCTTTCCCATCGTCACAAGATCATGTTACAGATGATCACCCAAATACTTCCGATGCGAGCACGTCAAAAGTCTCACATATTTGTTGAGCACAATAATTAGCATCAGAATGCTTCAGCCAAGTTCCACAAATTCATGGATAATACTGGAACAAGAATCAAGACCGATATTCCCCGAACTCTCAAGGAACTCAATATTAATCTGATACATGCGAAAAATTTGAAGCTCAATGGGTATTGGGAGTCCTCGTTCTAGTAATTCTATAATGATTATCAGACGAAAAAAGGTTCCGAAAATGTATCACTCAATCACAAAATTCATCGAGACCTGCACTTCCACGACCCCACTCGGCACGACACGCCGCAACAAACGCCAGCACGCCACACCTGTTGACTTTCAATGGCAAAACGCGAGCTGGATTGCTTCCATTTTCTGTCTGAACGTCCGCGCTTGGCCGGAAGAACCTTAACATTTGACGGAGTTTCACTCATTGAACTTGAGGTATGATGTTTTCGAGTCCCACTGACGCGTAAAACATACAGTACTGTACAGTACAGCACTGTAAATTGAAAATGTGATGTACATTAGTGATATTCACCCAGTGTTACGGAAAAATATACAGACTCGTAAACTTAACAACTTGATGTTGGCTTCATTGTAGCATTTGGACAAATTTTTAATTTTCAAATTACATAGCTAATATAGAACTTCTGCAAGGAACCTTGAAACAATAATATGCTTTCTACAGTTTCAAGTAAATGGCATACAATATTGCAGCAATGACAATTTGAGCTCTTCTCTTTCTGAAATTCAAAATGTCCATGAATTGGAAAGAGAGCATCACTTGACTTATTCACGGTATTATCCTATTTGAAAATGACCTTATTGACTACAATTTGGAAGATAGCTAGGAGTAAAATGCGGAAAACATTTAATTGAGACGAGCTTCCCTAATGGCAAGCCAAATAACATAGCTTCATGTACAGTATATAAAAGCCTCATGCTGTTGGCAGGAACAGGAAGTCCATGCGCGGGAATAGCTGGAATGCTGGATGAGGCACCGTTCGGAATGCTGCATACAGTATGCTGCAGCCCACTGCTGCATGGTCTTCTGGTAGCCCCCGTTCCAGAAGAAAATACTGAATTCTGAAACCCTGAGAATCTGAGATATTACTGTACATACCCTTTTAGGAGGAATTTTCCAAAAGTTCTGTCAGATGAACAACGCGGGCAGATCCGAAAGCCCTGCTGCACAGTTACTAACTTCAGGTTTTCAAGCAAATCAAGACAATAATCTGCGGGAATCTTATCCTACAGTATTTGATATACAAATGACTTGCAGGCCCAGCAAGAGCTTGGGGAACACCTTTCGTACAAGGTAGTGTTCGTAAACAAATGAGCTTCACTTCGCTCCAGCAGCCAGTCGGCTATTTGGGAGGAAACATTTTCAGCAAAATCATGCTATGAATGCCTTCGTTAATTATTGGCTTTCCTTGCGATGACTCATATGTCTTCACTAGCAATCAAATCCTTCGGCTTTATGGTTGAAAAGAAAGCATCATGGCCAACGAGGATATGCTCAAAAACTGTTCAAGCTTTAAAATAATACAGTGTTGTGAGAGACCTTAAGCGTGCATTGGTCAAATACAGTACAGTACAGTATATCCAATTCATGTTTCTCAAATACAGTACTGTAAAAAAAATTGATCCATAAGTAGGATGAAAACCTTTTTCTTCAAACAAAGTATTTTTATAGGGGTTCATATGCATGACATGCCTTCTCGCAGAATTAAAATTTCAAATATCTAGCCAAATGCCAGATGCTAAATTATATGTCGAGTTTATATTTTATACTGTACTTGTGTATATGGTTGGAGTTAATAAATCAAAGCTTCCCGATGCCTATACAATACAATCGTTGAACATAATCATTAGTTAATTTAATCAGCAGAAAACTATGCTGTATACGCACAGGGAGACGTTTTTCTATCATTTTTCGAACACCATGAGCGATGGATGTGAAAATAATAATTTTATGAATACGGCGATGAGCGCCTCATCCATGTAACGCGAATCATCATGCATCACACATGCTTTTATAAATCATAAAATTTTTGAGCTTCTCTCAGCAGGATAAGAGAATTCTAAGCGGAAAATGACGCCTATAGAAATCTTCGAAATATCATGAAGAATTAACGTGATATAGTGCCATGTCAGCAAAAACTAAGCTATGATACAGTACAGCGCGACCATAACTAGAACATCAACATTGAAAATCCTTTTTCGTATGTACATGCAGTACAACTGTAGTACAGTATTGCCCGAACAGAACAGTTACGGTTACGACTAGGAAATTGAGCGACACCTACCAAGCTTTGTCAATAATGCAGAAATTGTTTGCAGAACTTGTAAGCAAGAGAACAGTATGTAGTTCCCGGCGGATTTTTGGGATGGAAAATGTGGTCGACATGCAAAAGCATTGTACTTTTTGTAAAATGCTTGAAAAAAAGTAAAACGACCAATTTAAACACATCTTGCGGAGGAAAAAAGGGGGCGGTAAATTGCTCTTCGATTCAAGCTCTTTTTTTCGTTTGATACCATCCATGAACATAAAAATGCAAAGTACAGTACAGTATACAGTATATGATGTCAGCGGTGGGTAAAGCTCCTCTCGTGAACTATATGCAGTACTCGCACTCTGGAAGTATGACTTCCGTCGAATTAGTCAACTGTTGTGCTGCACTGTACTTTGAGAGGAGATCTGCATTCATTCACCTAACTAGAACACCCACGACCGGATACGAACCCATCAACGCAAACTCGGCTTGTTCGATTAGCTTACTTGATAGGCGTGATAAGAGAATGAATCCAAGTGTCAAGCGTGTTTCTCCTGCTTTTCCTGATGGTAAGCGCAGCATGTGCACGAACTGACATCCGTAAACAAACTCATGAAATCGGCCGGGTGCGGGGAAAGGTCCGTATTCACGAAAAGAGAAATCCTCTCGTCGCGCATTACAACTTTATCAGCAGCATAAAACTGAATTCGTATATAGGTGAGTGCGGCGGAATAAACGCAAAAGCGAGGGGGAGACAGCGAAACAGTGCCCCGCTCGCCATTAGCCTGACTGTCATTTCTTAATGAAGATAGAACGGAGTACATGGAAGTGCAATAACGTCTCGCGCCGCCAACAGAAAAGAAGATACGTCAGCAGAGATGCCTCTACAGTATGTGAATCGAGGGTTGCGGAAAAAAATATAGCTTCATATGGTACTCTTTGCGTTTGCTCGATCGCTACTCGTTCATATTTGCTGCTTTTTATATAAAAAAAAGTCTAAATGGCATACCGCCAGCTTCGATCAACCTCCTATTCATTGTTCGGGTTTTGTGTCATTGCGCATGTTTCGCATGTGTGATGTGTCCCTAAATATAACGAAATTTTTCCTCCCGTACCTTGGGTATACCAACCTACCATTAAGGGTCGCTGAATCAGGATTTCTCTCCCGAATTTCAGCTCACACACCGATCGAGAACCCTGTCAAGTATTCGTTAAATCTCTTCATTCATCAATGAAATTGGAAAATAATTTCGCAATTCGATCTACCCAATAAATAAGAGGTTCAACGAATGTACCAGGAGTATAACTGCCTTCGCCAACATAGTTTTCAATGCATGATATGCATCTGTCATTTTAGATTTAATAACAAAGACATGCGACATCTTCTTATATTTGAAGTTTTTAAAAAATAAGCTGCGAATATTTCATTTGATGAATCAAAAATTGTAGATTTCTTTAATGAAGCCCGGAACTGCACTCTTTCGTACAATATTGAAAAAAATCGTATGCATAAAAAAGGAACATTAATTTGAGCAAATCAGAGTGCATTCCTTTATCCAACTGTCCATTTATGTCATTTCCGTTTGCACGATGAATTTTGAAAAATATCAGGTTCGATTTGCATCGCTTGAGCATAATTTATTTCATTTCATCGTGTATTTTATTCGACCATTTCATCTGCTCCACTGTGGCTATAATCTTACCGTTCATAATTCTCGCGCCGTATTGTACTGTAATTCCTGTTGTCTGTTTCATGTTCAGCTGAGCATTTTTGTACATTCACACCATTTTTGTCTTCATCAATAAATAATATAAGGTCGCATGAAAATTCCAGAGTTGAATTGCCCTTTTTAATCGTTCTGCCTGTAAAAATTAAGCTAGAATAAGGTTCGTAACATGCGTCGTCATTTCAGTGCTGTGTCTGCTTTTTCCTGTTTTTCTGTGTCTATGATCGGAATAAAGCTTATGTTTCATTCACAATTTTTAAATATTTTATGCGCTTCTGAGGTTTAGGTTTTATGGAGAAACTGTACGGTATTTATTGATGCATAGCATGCACTATTCGTAGCTTTTTTTTCTTGAACTTCAAGTGCGAAAATATGTCGCACGCTTTCATTATTACATGTGAAAAAGGCATTTAAACCTTTTTTAGCGATGGTAGTTCTACTATATGCATGCATTCGTTGGATCCCTCGAGCAGATCGAATTGCATGGGACTGTTCGTGATTTGTCGATAAATGGACGCTGCGCTAAAATTTCATGAATAGAATATGAAATTCAGATGATTATGCCAGTAACGTACATTATGCGCGATGACGTGATTTTTAGCAACAAGAGAAATATGGGAACTATTGTGCAGTTGTGTACTCATGATTCCGATTAATGTACAGTGTTATTTTACCGTATGCCTCAGGCGCGGAGCAAGAATCTACTGATCTCTCAGCGGATGTGCGGAATAATCGTAGTAAATAAGTAAATGAAAGGCAGACGAAAAGCGCTTTAATACCTTAATGGCCAGCTTTCGGCGTGACGTGGGATGCTGAGTCTTCCGACCCCCGACACATTGCGAAGGGCTAATTCATTTGAAGGCCTTTATTTAATCAGCGTCCGTCATGTGCTATAAACTTGGCATTATCCTTGAGGGAAAGGAAAGGTGCGTCTCAGAGGACAGCTTGATTCGCACTTGATCTGCCTCGTTCACAGAAAACTCATACAGGAGGAATTCCTGCTGGTTTGCGGAGGCGGTCTCAACCGCATGATCGTTTCAAGTGGAGGCTAGAATCACGTCGTGCGTCAGACGCTGACGACCAAGGCTCGTTAGACCGCGATGCGACTGTTCCCCTGGGAGCTAGTCTATTTCCAGTAAGTGCCTCGAGCGGTAATTACCTGCTTTTACTCATCCACCAGACAATTAATCCGGATTTTCGCGTGTCTTTCTTGAACCACGCTTGGATATAATGTTGCGCTTCTTTCCCCTGAAAATCGCGTACCACAGCAGATCATTGCATGAGTAACCTTTTAGAGCGTCGAATCGTTTCAAACCTGACAAATTACATCAAAGCACGACCCGGAATCTGCCTGAAACCTTCTTCATCGCGATCACTGGGGCTTATTTCTTCAAAATATTTGTTCTCCCGAAGTCCATAACAGATCAGTACATTGTTGATTAATGGATGCGCAATTTGAATTCGTGAATACTGTACTGTACTTTTTACTCAAGGAAAAAGCCTTTAATGCAATATCGCCGGCCAGAATGAAAGCAAGGTCTTACACAGAAGGATTCGACAAAATATATTTAAGGCAACAAAAGATAATGATCTTATAACTAGAAAATTTAATAATGATCTTATAACTAGAAAATTTGACTAAATTTACGGTACTTAAGCCGTCATCGGGCAATGAAATCTACCGAGACTAAAACAAAAATCGTTGCACGGAGAATACGGCAGTAAACGAATCGCAGAACGAGTCAGCTGTATCGTACCATTAGAAAATATGGACAATTTAGTGGAGGGTTAAATTTATTTCAGACAAAAATGTCATGCTATATACTTATAGTAAAGTACTGCGAGATTGAATGATTAATTTTTCAAGTTGAATAAAATGTTGGCCATGACTCATTCTTGGCGGAGGTTTTCAAAATCGGTCTATTGGACCCATTTACTTCCTCATTCACTTCAGGTAAATATATTTTATTATGAAATACTGTACCAGAAATTTAATATTTAGCTCCACGAGGTTAAAACTAGATATCAAATTTCGGATAAGGGCATGTCGCCATACCCGTGTATCCGAGATTCCGAGGAAAGGAAAATTCTACTCATTTGTGCGATTGAATTCCATCTGATAGCGTGAGCCGAGAGAGGTTCGGGAATTTAAATAATTTAGAAATGGCTTTGCGAGTCAAAAATCACGAGATGATTTACCATTTTCGGCAATAAATGGTCCTCAATTCTTGCTTTATAGAGCCCTTGGGTCTCTTTGGCGTGTAGGAATTAAAGGCTTACGCGTTGATTGAAATTACGAGTATAAGAAGAACATGCACGCCATGGAGGTTTCATCGAATGATATAATTTTAAAACGGTCACTGCGTGCCAAAAAGTTTCAGGAACTCTGGTTTACGGTATGGGTGAACGATTGAGAAGACGTTGAAGTGTGAGGAGCATTTGGGAGAGATGAACCTTGTCCTATGGGAATCGGCGGCGGGATTTTTGCAGGGCTTTTCCGGATGAATAAAGAATGCATCTTGTTTGGAAAGCGAGAAAAGAGCGGTCGCAATCTGTACGGATGATGCACGAGATGAGCGGGTTCATATTTGATCGAATGGTGTTCATTCGATCTCGTAGTCGTACCTTCTGAATATAGTGGGGGTAGGGAACAGTCATTTTCATGAGCAGGCTTGATGGATGTTGGATGGGCCCCCCACACACAATCTGCTTATTAAAACGCACATTAAGGTCGCTAAAGAGGCTGGCGCGAATGTGACGGGTGCGCAACACCACCGGGTTCCCTAGCGGTTTTCCCCTTCGTCAGCTATTTCCACACCGACCCCAGGCCGTAATCCCCGGGTTTATTCGCAGTTAATCGAACGCGATGTTCTCGTTTGCCTTTTATTCCTGCAACGGGGCGGAAAGTCGATCAGGCGTCGAGTCCTCTGCTCATCTGCTGCTCACTTTCTCCTGTCTTATGGTCTCTCAGGCTTGTGTAGAGTCTTTGCGATCTCCGTGAAGCCATTATCCATTACCGCTCAATTTGCTTCGATTCCCCTCCCCGTTGTATCTCTATGATTTCGACGATTCCTTGCCCACTGTGCGATTACGCGATTTAAACCCTCTTTGCATTCGTAAGAGCCAAATCGAAACACCAACAATCAGACGCGATCGCATTTCCAATCCCAACTGAACTTCAGTTTAGTCTCAGAACTCTCAGTCGCTCTATCTTTTAATAGATCTAAGTTTCCCATACCGCATTTATTAAAATGTACGATAAACTTTCAATTATGGACAAAATCAGAGTACAGTATTTAGTTGATCCTATTGCATCGTATATTAGAATGCGTCATATTTTTCATAGTGTCCTAAATTCACATTCTCGTGTATAGGAGAGAGAGCTTATCAGATTCAAGGAAATTTTTTTTAGTTAAATTAAAAATACGGCCTAAAATTCTACCGAGTATTCTGGACTCTCTGATCAAGGATGCAAGAGTTAGCGTTCGTCTCATGCGGTTTCGGGTTACGTATTTGGTCGGTTATGAGGCTTGAATATACTGTATAAAATAATTTCTTCTAGTATTTAAGATAATTTATGAAGAAAATTGCGTCATATTTTTCCAGGGAACTTGTTTTTCTTCGACAGATGAAGTATAGGTAGGCTTCGTATTTGAGTAAATGTTGCACGTATAATTGGGACGGACTCAGCGCCTGAAAACTTTCCCATTCCGTGCGTATATTTATTCAAAACTATTCCTAATTTCATCGAACATATTTATAACCAAGTGATCAAGTTACATTCCTCCGCCAGGTTTCTAAAATTTCCTCGTGAGAGCACATAAGTAGGAGTTTATACATATAACACGGTTATACTTTTTATCTTACTGTAAGTACTGAAAGCTAAATATTTCAGAATTTTGAACTTCATTCGCGAACAACAAAAGCCTTGGTATATTTTTGGACGAAAACCACCGTTATTTTTCCAAGGACAGCATTTTCTTTTTAAAATATATTTCAGCATGAAACTCGTGTCATGCCGGAATGAGATACCTGAGGAAAACCAGCGACAGAATTGACTGAACTGGTGATGCACAGCACTCATCATTTATTTGAGAATAATTTTAACCAAATAACATATGGACGATTTGCAAATTTATTTTTTCTTAAACTAAAATTTGTTTTTTTTAAGTACTTAAAGCTTTATTATGTTACCGCAAAGTCTTTATTTGCCTGACGAAAATAGATTCTCCCTTTTTGCCTAAATAAAAAAGAGAAGAAAATTAGGGTAATGATTCCAAAATGCGAAGAGAAAACTTGTCTTTATTGCGGCAGAGCCTCACAAACTGCGTAGTTGTGAGGAGGATCGTGTTCAACTGGTTTTTCTTATTGAGCGCATTCTAAAAAACGGGAAATGGGTATTTTGAGCCATTTTAACTTCGCATGTTAACCATCTTTTGAAGGGGATCTTATCGATGCAACAGCTAAACGTTCTGGAGCAAGAAAAGTGAACGGCATTCCTCGACCAGGGAACCGGTGGATTGGGCGTGAAGTTGTGGATTTTAAACAATAAGTTGACGCATTTGGAAGCGATAAAAGGAGCTCAAAGAACCGGGAAATCAATGGAAATAAGTAGTGAGGGTGGACATGACCCAGGTTCATCTAATGGAGTGGATGACTGGCCGAATCGAAACAAGATTTGCAACGCCGTATAAACCCGACATATTTACTTAGTCACCTCGCCACGTGCCGCAGTGGCACACGGCTGGTCACGTGCGGACGCGCGGAGTCGACAGCCCCCCAGGGCGTGAAATGACCCTCGATTGACATTTAAATTCGCCCGGGCTGCGACACTGAATCAATACCTCGCGCGAAATCGCAGCGAGTAATTTGCTTGCGTAGTCAAACAAAAGTCGAATCCAGGAACGCGAAGGTTTTCTTTTGTTGTTGAGCCGTCCAGCCCGTGGGTCCCTATCTGAGAAAGATGGAACCACGTGGGAAGAGGAGGCTTCGCAAGGAGCGTTACGGGCAACCAATGGAAAACGTGCGGCAACGCCCCGGATCCCATCTGTGGTATCTTCGGCCTGTTTTGATTCTCCGCGAAGCCGCGCCCCGAGTGCGAAGTCGAGCCTGGAGCACGCAACCCCGTCGGTTTGCTCAGTGCTTCATGAGAAACGTCACTGAAACGGCCAGGCTTAATCATAAAAGATCGCCGATGTGCCGAGGTTACTGGCAGTGAGGGGAAATCGCTTCTGATGGAGCCCAATTTTCCGCAGCGGCATTCTTCGCGAACAAGAGTGAAATTATTGCCCGTTTTCTGCGCGGTCGGGCATCTTCTTCAAATCCCGTGTTTTGCCCGCTGCGAAAATCGCGTCGATTCATGGTCAATTACGTTTTACACCCTGTTGCTTGCCACTTGACCCCTTTCGGAAAACATCAGAGGAATGACTCGGGGATGTTCCTTGTTGAGCTTATCTTCACATCTTCTCTTATGGTCTGGCTTTGCCTAGGTTTTTCTTCCGAGTGATCCAGGTTTTCACGCTCTTCCATCGTTCGATGAATTCCGTGTTCTTGGAACTTTTTCAACGGATCGCAAAGTTTTTTCAGGTAAGAAATCCATCTCCAGCTTTAGGCTTTCTTCGCAGCGTTTGACGTTTAATATTATCTTAAATTTCTTCGTTTTTTAAGAGATATAATAAAAGAAAGGTTTTTACTTGAATCGGATATGAGAGATGCTTGCTAAGTGAGTCAGGAACTCCAGCGATTTCCTCTCGGTTCGCTAAAAGTTACTTCTCAAAACTTTTATAATACTGTATTGCATTGATTATGGAAAAACAATCTTGGTTTTTTATCCTGGGCTTTTTTACGATCTTCGGTCAATGGTCTATGTTTCGCGTGTATTTATGCGTTCCGATCATCAGCGGAGGAAACGTAAATTTTGCTCTGTTTCGTAGAAGAGAGTTTACATTGCAATACTATCTGTTTTTCGGGTGATGTTGCAAATTTAAAATTTGTATTTGAAAAAATCCGGATTACGGAACTCGCCCTGAACGATGTTAAAATCAAGTAATCACTAAACGTTTGAAGAAACTTTTGCAATCCGCGGTAGATCTAAGGGTTCAGTGTTTGTGTTATTCCTGCTTGAAAACATAAGATCGATAATCCGGCGCCTTTGTGTCTTCGATCAACCATCTGGGAAGCAAGTGTTCTTCACATTGAAGGACATTCTTTTCAGAAAACCGGACGAACCCGCACACTTGTGGGTTCATTGTTGTAGTTCCGCAGTATTTCTTTCGGATTCCGAACAAAAAATGACCTCTAAATTAGGAAAAAGTTCCGCAGTTGTGGGTTCATTGGAAATTTCCGGTGGTCTCGAACCAAACTTTGTTTTTCTCCGTGGTCAACTATAAAGTTGCCGATAAAAACAAAGTAAGAAGATCGATTATCTGCGATAATGAATTGATGGTGCCTTCGCCAGTTGATCAAATATCACAGATAATCGTCAAATTAATTGTACTCGGCTGTTATCTGAGAAAAATTGATTCAACATTGTAAATTGTATAATTGTATAAGTGATCTTACCATCAAGGGAGGAGCAACACAATTTCCCAGAAACCCTGCCAAAAGTTCAAAACTGTAAAAAAATCCTGAGTTTTTGTTTTCGTTTTTAATGGCACGATATTCTTTATTTATGACACTTTGTTTTGCTTTTACAGTATAATGCTTTTCACATCGGACAGTTTTACTGCTCGCGGCACAAATTTCAAGCTTATCTGATTGACATGAAGATGATATTGTAAAACGTTACATCGGCGGCTTTGTTTCCTATGACTCTCTTGAATTTCGAACCCTGTTATTAAGCGGCTAAAAATTTAATTGAACTCCGGGTTATCGAGTTCTACTGAAATTAGGTGTCAGGAAATCAACACTAAGCACTGGTACCCACGCTACTTTCGCTTAGAACGAAGAACTCCAATGCTCCCAATTTCTCATAAGAAGTCGGACGCGTTTGTAAGGCATGGCAAGTCTTGTGTCTATCGGTCGCTTGGTTTTTCACACCCTCCTGCGAATTTTCTCACCATACGTCCGAACTCTGTTGGACCTACCGCAAGCATCTTGCGTTCATAAAAAGCTCGATTTCCATATTCACGCAACTACGTTGTCTTAAGTGAGTCGTCAAAAATAAAAAGTACAATGGCATGAATCGTTCCGGGACTTCCTAAATTTTTACCATCTCTGTATCAATCAGCCGAGTACTGCGAAGAAGTCTCCCGAATCTGCGTGTTGACTGCTTGACCTGGACATGGAAAAAACGCTGGAGGGGATTTTTTATTCGCATAACCATCGGCGTTTTTTTTTTTTTTTTTGGAATTCCTGGTAGTTCCGAGGCGTAGAACCTCGAAAAGAATGTCTACACCGACTAGAAATCTCACGTCGACGGTATATACAGTAAAAGAATAGAAAAAAATAGCCACGAGTCCATCTCACTTAAGCTGAGCTTCTGTGCTGGTTTTTTCCCGCGTGGTTCATGAAAAAAGGAAAACGAATTCTTCAATCCAACTTATTTCAAAGTTCTGTGGTTTAACTTGATTCCATGCACTTGTAGCCCGAGTTTGTATCTGGTACAGCACTTTATTTGTATAAGTGAATTTCTTCGCTTTTCATTTGGTGGAATTCGATGAAATTTCCATGCTTTCTGTGGAAATCGATCAATCTTTGTCGAGAACTTCATTGGAATTTACATCGAAAATCACATTTTAGAATGATTCACGCACAAGACGGACGTCTTGGAAAATGGGCGGAAAATTAAACTATGAATACAATGATCGCAAGTCCATTGAGGAAATACTGTATTCATTGAGAATGTACTTTTATCACGAATTCATCCAAATCTTATTGCCCCATGAAATAAGACCGTGAAATGAACTAGAAGATGACTCTAAAACAATCAAATAAGTCCGGGAGTCCTCAAATTTGTCGTATGAGCTCAAATTTAGACATGTGTTGGTAGATTTTTCCTCCATAGATGCCCTTATTTTTTCGTGGCTCAAATACCTGTATTACTTGTTTAGTTACTCCGCGAGGGAGAAGCTTTGATTCGTCAATTTAATTTTCCTTCCTTGTGAAATGTATGGCGTGTAACGCTAAGAATACCGTTTAACGCGAGAATCGTGTTACCGACATTTTTTTGGGGCATTGGAAAACAAGAAGAAATAAGCATTGTGGTTATACTGCAGAGACTTTGGAGGACAATTCTCAATAACAAGATCCTATTGTATTCCAGGTAATTATCCGAAACGTTGATATTCAAAGCATACTGTAGCTGGAATAGCGTAATTTAATTTCTTGACCCATGGGAACGGGAAGTCCTCGAACCGAGCATGCATAGCAGTTGAGATGACGCAAGCAGCTTTCGCACTCTATGCGGGCCGGTTTGTGGTTGAAGAGGCGACTTTATGTTATTATCGCAGGACGAGGATGCACACTTCGGGACACTCCATTTCCGCGACGAATGTCGCCCTTCCCCCGGGTCTGACGGTGCATCACGGGCAAGTACCGCCGCCGTTGACATCCGCCGGCGACTTGAATGGAGACAAACCGATTAAGCAGAAGCGACACCGCACTAGGTTCACCCCGGCACAGCTGAGTGAACTGGAGCGCTGCTTCTCCAAGACCCACTATCCCGACATCTTCATGAGGGAGGAGATCGCCCTCCGCATCGGACTGACCGAATCCCGTGTTCAGGTGGGTTCGTTTCCTCGGAATTCGTCAGGGGGAAAAAAATTCGGATCTCCCTCTAGTAACTCAGGGATGAAGAAACATTAATTATACCGTATTACCTCGAATATAAAAGGACTGCTGTTGAAAGTATCGCGCGCCATCTCTAAAGACGCGCGCCTCAATTTTTCAGCTGCAATATTAGGTAAAAATGTATCCCAACATAAACTGCGCACCCCGTTCTTCAGTATATACAGTATGTTCACAATTTAATATTTACAGAAGCTAAAGTTACAAATTTATAGTCAAATGGAAGGACAGTTTAATTTGTTCCTCATTTAACTAATTTGTAATGTGATCCAAGGATAACGCAATCACGAATGTATGAAAATTTATAGAAGTTTTTACCGAATACGACGAGCCCCCACATTTAATTCTCGATTTTTGGTGAAAAGTGCATATGCTAATATTGAGTAAAGCACATTATTCGAAGTATTCATATGTATTTATTTGTAATCCCATAAACGAGAAAAATTCTTCTCTACATTCAAGGAGCACTTTCATTTGATCAAAATTCTTCAAATTCAGAATAGTCTGTTGATTCTACTCATACTGAACTTCATATCTTCGAATACTTGCATTAGGGATCAGTATTGTACTCTTGTACCCTTGAAGGGAAATTCTTTGGAAGAATTAGTTCAAGGGAATTTTAGACCAAATTTTTTTCTAAAGATTGTGTCGGACCTGAAGCAATCATGCTTTTACTGTACTGTACTTGCAAATCTGTAAGAGGCCGTAAAATTTGTTTCACCATCGAATATAAGATTCAGTTCTTGACGTTTTCGAGTTAACGTTCGCGAAGAACTGCGTCTTTTATTCAAGTTAATGCGGTTGTACACTGTAGTTATTCTAATGTTTTCGTCAAAATTTTACCAACTTTCTGCGTAAAGATTTATGTGCACTTCTCAATCGTGATCTAATGGTACTCGATGGCACAGTACTTTCTCTGTGAAAGTTCATTGAGACAGAAAATATATATTTAGAGAATCCTCGTAGACTCACATTTCCCCCTAAACCCGGATTGCAAAGAATAATCTTGCTTTAATCGAGAGCTGCTTGTCTAATTAGAGATTTCATCTATTTTATAGCCGACTTTCATCGCCAGGCTTGCTTGCTGCTTTGTTTTGCTCATTTAGTATATACTCTAGGTTATGATGAGGACACATTGGATCAAGAAAACCTGGATTCATTCATAATCTGTAACTTGAAAAAACTAGTTTTACAGCAAAACCTTGACTTTGAAATCTGTCAGGTGATTTTTTCCTGCAAACGCAGATTTTATTATGTAAGATTTTATTTTTGAATTCATGTGAATATTACTGTACTTTTATAGATATGCGAATATTACTGTTTTAATATTCATGTGAATATTACTATATTACTGTATTACAGTAAGACGTGTATTTTAATTCTGAATCACAAAATGTTTCAAAATTAAAAACTCTTTCAAAATTTAAGCCGCACACTTTTTGCGTTATTTCAGGCAATTTTTAGGTAGGAGTTGTCGATATGATGTAAGGGTTTATTTAGCGGGTTTTATAAAAAAAATGCTTTATTTTAATTTATTTGAACACGTGAGTCACGAAACTTTCTGGCGAACAGGCATAGTATAATTATTTTACAAAACGGAATTACTTGCGGGATTTTTTCGAGACTTCCATGCGAATCTGTCGAACTGACTGCCTTGCATTCCATAAGCAAAATGAGAACACAAGGGAAACAATACAGTCGGTGAAACATTGAAAACGGTCATTGAGACTTTTTCTGGTAATACAGTACTGTACTGTATTTTTATGTCCAATTCGGATAAAATTCTGCTATCGGTGCATGGAAAGCTTCGTCATAATTCGAGTATCACCTGTTCACTGAGATCAAACAGTGAATCTTCCAACAAGCATGGATATGCCGCGGGATGATTGAGGAGAGATTTTTCTTTTGTTGGAATTTTTTGCTCTGTACGGTCATAATTGAAAAAATCTGTATAACCCTTGCGAGATTATCTTTCATTCGTGATACTTGAATCTGGGCGAAGGCAGCCGGTCGTTCGGCCGGAAAACAGAGGTTGTGATGTTTTTCCATAACAAATCCGTTTGATGCGGCCTGCGAGGCTTAGTTTTGAAAATCACGAAGACGTTGAGACACAACCTCGATTTTCGCTGTTGCTGCTGAATTTCGTGTGAACTGAACCGGCACGTGCCAATAACAGAGCAGCGCGCAAAAATTCCCCGAAAGACCCAAGGGGTGACAGATGGTGGCTAGCCCAACTGGTGCTTTCTGGCGAACAACAAAAGCCACTTGATTTCGGGACTCCCGGGAATAAGCGGTCTCGATTTCGCTCCATTAAATCCTTGACAGCTGGTGGAAAACGAGCCCGGCGATTCTCTCTTCCTGCTCGGGTGATTCATAAAAAGCCGATCCCGCGTCTCCCCTTCAGTTCGGAAGCATCGCTCTCAAGTCATTGTCACCTAGAAGCAAACCGAGTCCCGCTAGTTTTTCCGACCGAAGTGCGGAAACTATATTCCTCCGGGTTCCCTTGGGACGTGCAGCTCTGCGCGGACTCGTTGCCTGGCACATACGAGGCGACGGCATGAACGAGGGACGTTATTGTCAAAACTCAAGGATGACGGGAGGAAGAAAAGAGAAAAGTCCGTTGAAACGAGGAGGTCCTGTAGCCAGGAAATCCATTTATTTCGCAATGCTTTCGGGGAACATCAACAGGCAAATGCTTTCGAAACCTCCGACGCTGATGCCGTCCCTGGAGACGCATATGCTTCTACGCGGGCCGTTCCGCGCAGGCCACAAATTTCGCTGATATTGTAATTCACTCCACTGTGGTATGGCATGCCGAATCTATAGTTCCTTCTGGTGTCGTCCTCGTGGCAGTAGTATTTCAATCCGATCGTCAAAAAACCCGTATTGATCTAAAACTGAGGCCTTCGCAGAGGTCGTCTTCCGTCATCCCATTTAGGCTGGTTAGGAGGAATCATTCGACTGTCAGACAGCCGGCATCGTCGTCTTTGCACTGTCGACGATGTTCGTCATGATGGAGCCGAATATCGAACATTCCCGTCAAATTATCCCTCTATGTTAAAAAAAAAATAAAGGCCAGCCTTTGTCATTTCCCTGATATTAACCCGAAGAGAACCATGTACATTTAGGAAGAATTCAGGTCGATCCAACAGAAAAAAAAAACCCGTACAATTTCATACAAGTTTTCTTCCTAATATTATGAATCAAGAGGTGGAAGGACTCCTTATTACACTCTTAAAGAATTCAGTTTTAGACTTAACACTTGAGGATTGATAAGATGATCTTCCGGAACTAACAAAAGCTCATATATATTGCACGGAAAATATCAGACATTACTCTTCAGGCACAAGTCTACCTTTAATTTCATGGACTGCAGGTGAATTTGGCGTCTGCATAGCGCCAGAAAAAAAAAACCGGTTGTGCTGAGTATGTAGACTATTTTACAGCATAGTGATTATCGTATTAACTCGACCACAGTACAGTATATGCCAAACTTCCTTCCCTAAAATGCCATAAAAACTCTTAACTCGGGTGAGGCCTCTATATTGTACTCGACTTATCCAAGAATCGGCCGAAGTGAAGAAGAGAAGGTGCAGTTTAGCAACAAAATCAGATGTGTGGAAATCGATCGTCAGGGGTAACTAAAGCCAACGAAGACCCTTTCGTGGGTAAATAATGCAGGAAACATTTCCTGGTTTTGCGTTCGATTATTTCATCATCCCATGAATCTTCCACTAATTTTATTTTTATCCATTATTATACCATCGACAATCCCCCGATAAAATGATATGATACAGTAAATGTATACTGTATTCTGCTCAGCGTCGATTGCGGTAATTTTTCTTTTAAAATGTTAACGTTTGTCAGTGGCCTACGTATGGAAATCTTTTCCCAGAAGTTTTTTTTTTGCGTAAATCCATCCTCGTAGTGAAGGCCTTTTTTTAAGCTTGAGCGCATTACTATAGCAGTATTTTGCCACGAAAATTTTTTTTTTTAGAAATTGCATGATAGTTTGAAGCGAGTCCATAAGCTTGAGTCAAAGTAATACAGCATACAATTATACGGTAATTATCCATTATGACATTTTTGCTTGGTTGAGGAACTTTCCTGCGTCTTGACCGAATTGAAAAGTCTTCCTGCTCAGAAATGCCTCCGTCTCAATTCCGTACGTCTGCATACGTGTTTTTCTCAGATCGTGCGGAATTTCAACCATTAAAACAGCTCGAAGTTTATTCGGCCGTCGCGTGCACATCCGCGACGAACATGTAACAAATCAATGAATGAATGAATTGAAAATAAAAGCATCAGGTAAGGAAAGGCCACCCAGGCGATGCATCAATAAGATATGATCTTCACGCCCAGGTGCGAACACGTTCGTTTGGCCGAGCCAGGCGGGGAAACGAGGAATCGGGATCGAAACGAATGAAGTTGAAGTTCCCGCGGGCACGGTGTATGCGCGAAAGCACGACGGAAATTTGACTTAGGGAAAACAAATGATCGAGAGGGATTTACTCTGTTTCATTTACATCGGTGCAGGGAGGAGCCTTTCGAAGCCTTTATTGCCCCGACCAGAGAGAAGCAGGCTGCCTGAGTCACGAGTTACGACGACGGTGATACCAGCCAGCCGCAGCGGTTGTTCTTATTCACGTGGTTGTTCATCAAATGAGAATCCGGCTCAGGGATTTATTTCCCTCCCCTGAACGAACTTTCGCGTTCCCTCCGATGCAAAAATCGACGGAACGCGGTCAGAGGGACTTCGAGATTCCGCTCACATTATTGAAGAGGGATTAGGCCCAGTTGACAATGATTACTTTCCGCGATAAGTAATGTTCCGCGGGCCAATATGTTGCGGGGAAATCGGACACTGGTGTTGTTGTATTGCCTCCCGGGGGTGACACTGACACCCCGGCCCGCGCCCGGGCCCCCGCGGACCTAATGAAAGATGGTGCGGGTTTTATGAACTGCGGGGTGCAGCGGGATGAATAGCTTTTCGGTTTTCCGCGGATTTGCCGGGCCGGCGGGCTGATCCCGGGTTATTAGCGCGCGGACAGCGCAGCCGTGGCGAGATGAGCGATTGGGAGTTGTCTGACGGGATTATGGTTTATTCAGGTGTGGTTCCAGAACCGTCGGGCCAAGTGGAAGAAGCGGAAAAAGACGACGAACGTGTTCCGAACGCCGGGCTCCTTGCTGCCCTCGCATCCCGGGTTGGGGCATTTCGGGAGCGGGCCGATGGCAGGTATGGCGATGGGCAAGTCGGGCATGGGCGCGGAGTCATTTTGCTCCTCGACGCCCAACATGTTCTCTCCTCCGGCCGCGGCTTCGGATCCCGGACGATGGTCGATGTCCGCCATGTCCTCAGGTAAGCCTTTCCTTGCATTTTAGTCCGTGTCAGCGAAATGTGCTAAGGCCCCCATAACAAAACAACCGTAAAGTTACAACCCGACTTTTCGACCGGTGGTACGAGGGCAATCGTCTGTATGATCGTTAGCGAAATTTTCTGAATTAAAGGCAAGAGTTTTCAAGAATAAGTGATGAATTGATTTGACAAGTGGGTGGACAGAGAATGAAATTACAGGTGGACTCTTTCTGCCACGAAATTATTCGTACAAAAGATTTGGTAGTAGAAACCCCCTATTGGCCCTATAACATGGGGAATGAACCTTGGCCGGGGCAAAAATAAATATTTATGCCGAGAAAATCGTTGTAGACAAGATTGTGGTAGAGAGTCCACCTGTATTACTTCAGTGAACAGGAAAAAGGTTTGGAAACCATTTTAGGCAAATGTAAGAAGAAATCCGAGTGTTAACTGGAGCTTGTGTTGAAATATTAACTGCTGGATGCAGCCTTCATTTGAAGCCCTAGATAATCAGAGGAGATGATCCGCGTTTACTGCCATGGTTTGAACAAGGAAAAAGTCAGAAACTTTCTTAAAAGCCATCTAAATGAGATTCACTTGTTCAAAATCGTCTCCAAATAATAATGCCGCGACTTAAATTTGCACATTGGGTGATTATTTTCAACAAACGAGAGGTTATTTGGAATCAACGTGAAGTCTTGGAATTCGATTAAAATTTTTAGAGCTTAAAGATGACTTGATCTTGCATCAATTTTCCCGATAGAAGGAATGATATAAACCAGGATGACTCAAATTGTTCACCAACGGACTCTTCCGATTCTGAATTGATCAAATTTTGAGAAGTGTGTGCCTTACGTCTAATAAGGCGAAAACTATCATGTAATTTTTGTGGCTCAGAAAATGAAGACGCGTTTTTCAATCAATGGCGTATTTTATAAAGGGAATACAGTTGTCTGCATTTGATCCTTCGAATACAGTACTATATTCAAAACAGCAAAAAAAAAACACTAAATACCTATAGGTACACTCCGCGTCTCCTAATAAAAATAAGCAGGGGATTCGAATACAGTAATTATAAGCTGTACATACAGAGAATATCTCTACATAGAGAATTCGCTGACATTTCTGTGACGTAGCTTTTCGAATTTAATTATTAGCCGTTCTCGAAAGCATCTGTGGTGTCGAAGGCTTAAAGAATTATGATACACGCATTCAGGTTTATCCTGTGAATTAATACAATAATATTGTAAAGCCGATTGTTCCATGGTCCTCAGGTTTTTGCGCCCGGAGTTGAAACAAAAGAGGGAACCGGCATCAATTTAAAATTTGAAATATTTTTCTAGCATACCAACGCCTACAAGGGTTAATTTTCGAAAGTGCCTTAAAACGTGTTCCGTGACTTACTGTAGTATGTGAATACAGGATTCAGCAAATAATTGCTTCCTATAACTTGAATCCTAGACAACAATGTCACGGCAATCCTCTATTTCCATACCCTTATAATGGAAAGGAATCGCTGACTCGCTACTTATTCAATAATGTACTTAAATCCCCATTCATCTGAATTGTTTCTGGATTTCGGTATCCTAAGCAAGCCCGCGAAAATGTCATTAAAATGAAACCGATTATCGTCCTCACTGAACTCTTGAAATATATTACATTTAATTCATAGCTTTATCGGAAAACGCATTGAAAGCTTTGTAATAGAAAAAATGCTGCTCTACTCTCCGGCCGAATAGGAATGACGAACACGGGCTTTGGATTTTCGTCATCGTTGTCTCCGAGGACCCAAAATTTGGGTCAATTCGGGGGACCGGGAGTAAGCACGCTGAACAGTACTGGCTTGGGTCAGATGAGCTCAACCCCGTCTCCCTTGTCCCCCGCTCACTTGACCTCGAATTTGAACACCATCTCTAGCTCTATGAATGCCGCGAACAATCATCAGATCAACTACCAGCCCGCGTACAATCTCAACGCTCTGGGTGAGTCACGGAATGATTCACACCCCGCTGGATTCCTAACTTACGGTATGTTCTGAAGAAAAACAAACAAGATAGAATAGCAAAAAAACCAGGAACTTGTTTTTGTTTATTCCATGCATATGAAACCGACGCCCTGGTCATTCGGGTACCAATAATAACAGATTTCATCCTCCCTTAGCGGACCGCAACATTCCCTGATTCTTGTTTTTCTTTATTCTGCGAACTGATTGGAAGTCGTCGCTCACAATGTAACAATAACAAACCACCGCTGTATGTAGGTTCAATACCATACTTTTCTCCACCAAAAATTCAAGCTGAATTGAATCCCATATTTTGGTTGTCTGTTAGATACCTTCTCTGTTGAAAATGGCCTCAATTAGAGAAGATAAGCTGGGGACGATCCATCGAGCATAGTGCAATATTCTATATAGTGCGACGAAGAGAATGTAATGCGCTGGAAAAAATAGGAAAACCTTGATTTACGAAAACCCTAAATCTAAGATGCATTTCAAAAATTACTCACCCCTCCGACTTGGTATGTGATGAAAAACTGTAATAAGAAAACAACAATGCTCATGCGCAATATACCTTTTCCACCCATGCGTGAATTCAGCGTTGAGATCTTATATAATTTCCTGTATACGATCAATCAAGTACAGTATTACATTTCTCAACCAATTAAAGCATAAAAAAACGGATTGATTCGAACCTGCTGGTTTTGAAAGTTAAGATTGAAAGGTTAGGCACAAAGAACGAAAAAACGAGATTGAAATGTATAAAGCAGTGTTTCCCAACCTTTTTGGGCCCGCATACCGGCAAATTTCCATAAACGTTTTTGTGGACTGGCAAATGTTCAAGAAAAATGTTCAGCCAACTGGCAAAGTTTTGTAAAATTTTTGGACACTCAAAAAGGTTTTGCCTGAAATGCTTGATGGCATGTATTGAACAAGATTCTGCTTCTTTGTGAACAAATTAAGTTTGAGTTAATTAAAATTAATTTGAACCAATGAATCACCTATAGTGGAAAATTTTTTAAAAATTAAAAAGGTGGGCTCAGAGAAAAGTTTCTCAGAATGAAAAATTAAAAGAAAGTATCTCATGGGTGAAATTTTTCTGAAGTGTCATTAGGAGAAAAGCCAACTTAAATTGTTAATGAGATAATTTTAGCTGCAATTGTCTCACAAAAATTTCAGATAAAGATACTGTAACATCCTTCATTGGTAGTTTGATAAATTTATCATAAATGAGAAAATTTGCCACAGACTAGCCAAAAATATCTGCGGACCGGCGCCGGTCCATGGATCATGGGTTGGGGAACACTGGTATAAAGGACTTTGAAACTCTTGGCCCAAGACAATTGAAGATTCCCGAAATTTCCATGGAGCCAAAAAATTAAACAAATTATGAAATTAATTTTACAATTTTCGAACAGCTGATAACAGAAACTTTCTTCAAAAGTGCGCGCGGAATTCATGCAGCCTGGTATTTTTTCGTGTACCAAATTCACGTTGTTTTCTGTGAGCTGTTCGGACACTTGTGTACGCGTATTTCATGTCATCTACATTAGCATGGTTTGAATTTCCAGACGCTTGGTCCGGAACTCGATCAGTGTTGTAGTAAAATAAAAATCTTTGCAGGCACGATGAACTGCTCTAGTCTGCAAGAGATAAGCTGTCCTTCGTCGCGAAGCCGCTCGTCGCCGACAGACGGAGAAATCTCGCCCGACAGACATTTGGCTTGTGACGGCCTCTCGACGCCTCGGCTTTCCGACAACTATCTGGCCTCCGACACCAACGAAGCCTGGCGAGATCACTTGGCCGGCCACTTCGCCGGTTTGCGGCGTAAAGTCTACGAGCACACTGCGACGAACATCACTCGATGAAAAGCGAATTGTCCCACGACTCATTGTCAACAGCTCAACGTCAAGAGAAATGTGCGCTGGGTGTGTGCAGAAGAGGAAGTGCGGTGCGAAGAAGAGAAAGAAAGGAAGAAAAACTTTATGTCGAGGCAGTTTTTTTGTTCTTTTTGTAAGCCATTCCGTGTCGAGCTATATGAATCTGTGACGTTTGGGACACCGGGAAGCGCACTTGCTGGCGGCTGCGGTCATTTCGCTGCTGTTCACGCGTTACTCTGTAAGAAGAAACTCTGATTTTCTTGTGAGTGTCCTCCTTCCTCGCAGTATAAAAATGAATAGAAAGTTACCCCGATCGTACGTATAGCTCCTCGAAGGCATGACTGAATTCGTTTCTATTCTCATTAATTGCTGCATTTGTTGGTGTTCCGTGTCCAGGGCGATTTCGCCTTTTTTTTTCCTTCGCGCGGATGGTATTCCAGGGTCTTCTAAGTGCATCCACATTGAATATGGGAAAATTTAACGTTGTATCAGACGAGGCACCTGCTGGGCAACTTTCGTCGTTTTCCGTCGAATGGAACCGCTTTCGACTGAATCATTCGACCCCGCCGACGGGGATGTTGCCGGTGTAGGCGATTTTGTTTTTGCTTTTTTTCGTGAAATGCATTCCTGAAAGGAGAAATTTGCCGATAGGAATGAAAAATACATTCTCTCGGTTTTCTTGTCCTCATTTAGAAAATCGTGTTTCTTTCCGATCTTCAAAAAGGCGATTTGGTTGGATTTCAAGTAAACGCTCTGTGCATGCACAAAGAAGAGGGCTGTATCACTTCAACTTCTGGAAATAAAATCCTGGATTGTGGACGCGTTCATATTAGCACAGATGTGATACATTATATCAGTTTCGAAATAAATTGCCTCATTGGCATGAAGATTTTAGCATGACTTTTGTCCGCAATTTTCAGCGGCGGAAGCACTTATTATGTAATGAGTGAATTAATTAACTGAAAATGTTGAAAATGCCTGGAAGTTTATCTAGATTTTTGAAATCACCCTATTTAAACCAAAAATGTCAGATAGAGGAATCAACCTTGGCTTCCAATTACGTCATGCCAGCTAGCTATTTTTATGCCCCAACTGTGGGGAAAGTGGTGCACACTGGGGATATGTTTGTAATTCTATACACAGTGACCCTACTGTGCACCTGAAGTGTAACCAAAGTTCTACTGTTGCACATCATGCATATCCATAATGTGCACCAATTGTGTGTTCATGCCAAGATTACTCAAGGTCACATTTGTAAACAAATAAGGTACACCAAGGTTATCAGGTGGAGGTGGTGCATTTGTGTGATACTCCTGTTATGTCACATTTGTGCACTAAATGTAGCCCAGGAATGGTAGCAAAATGTTGTATACAGAGGTGCATGCTTGTAGCTTGTAACCCCTAGAATAGCCCATGTACACCAATTGTGACCCCAGTGTGCACCATTTATTGTGGGGTCACACAAAGGATAGCTCCCCACTTGGGTAATCAACCTTTATTCAACTTTGTTGGGGTATTGCACATGATTGTGCTGTCTCCTGTAATAAAGTTTAATTGCTAGTCAGATTTATAGGGCACTTCCAATGCATAAATAAACAGGGTGGGTCAAAATAAGTGAACCAAATTTAAACTTGAAATAACTCAGTAGCTAATTGAGCTGTGGCAATGAAAAAAGCCAAATGAAAGCTTGTTCAAATGGTTTGTAATTTGATGATCCCAAGTGCTACAGAATGGTCACAAGAATATAACCATTTGAATGAAAAATTTTCACAAAAAAGTTGTCAGGCAACTTTTTCCAACAAGCTGCTATTTTCCTCACTTTACCTTCCTTGCACTTGTGGGCAAGGAAGGCAAGGGAAGGTTGAAAATTTTTTATGGATAGAGGGAGGCAGCAGTAGAACATGGCTGCGTCCGTGCAGCTAGTATATTTCCTCAGGTGAACTTCGTTCGGAAGCACGGGAATACTGGCGACGGTGATCGATGTTGCTGATGTGATTTTATCAGATGGTGCTGCTGCTTCATTTTTGAATAGCAGTGAAGGTTTAATCTTGTGTTGTGCCTTTATGATTAGCCTACAGGAGTTCGTTTTGTTGATGTGCATCAGCATGAATTTGAGGCTTCGTAAATCGGGCATAATGTCAAGTTTGAGTTCTATTCACAGTTTTCGTGATAATCATTTGTATATTCGTGATGAACGCTAACGTGAAATTGCGTGATGCTGTGCGCTTGTGAAATCTTGAACTGTTCGTTTTGATAGCCTCTGTCACAGGAAGATGGGAGCTTCTTTCTTCCAGGTAATCATAAATAATGGCATTTTGTAATCTTTTTTCCAATTGATCGCATTCATTTCTCAAGGATGATCCCCAAAACTCCTGGTTCAAGTCGCTCTCCAACAACCCAAAAGCTGCGTACGACGTCGTCTTCGTTGTTGAAGGAAATACGGGGTTTGGGGCGTATGTGAATGAACTTCGTAATAACTACATTATTCCCACCCTTGAGTGAGTGCTACAGCGTCATGAATGCGGTAAAAATCGATGTTGAACTATATTTTCTTCCAGATTTTTTGCGCGTGGAGCAGTTGGTGATCAGGATGAGGGGAATGAGGTGAGCGTCCGAGTTGCGTTGCATGTTTTCATTGGTTTATGACCTTAATGTGAAATTTTAGATCAGGCCATCAATGTTTTCGCTTGTGGTCTTCTATTCGATGGAGTGTGGACTGAAACCTGCTGTTGAATGCTGTGGCCCGTTTGTCTCCGCCAATAGACTTCTCTTAGCGTTCGATAGACTTGAGTAAGTACTGCTGTTACGCAAATGGGGTCTACTCATTCGTTCAATTGACGAACGTTTTATTTTTCAGGTACCTAGGGGGAGGAATGGACAATGTTTCGCATATTACGGAAGGCTTAGGCGTTGCTTTATCCTGTTATGAAGAGAAGGATGCTACCAAAGAACGGGATACGAACACTATTAAACACTGCGTTCTGATGTGCAATTCGCTTCCGTATGATTCCTCTGCTTCAGCCGCCTTTCCAGCCTTCGGTGGATTGGATTTGGAAAGTGTTTTGAAGTCTTTGAAGGAGGTATTCAACCGCGCCATGATATTACGTTGTAGATTTCTTCATAGAGTCTCATTCCAGAGTGACGTACGACTGTCTGTGATTTCACCGCGGAAAATTCCCACGCTTCTCAAAATTTTTGAAATCGGTGGCGGAGATGTTAATATTGCCCAAGCAAATAGTTATGCCAAGGATCCACGACATTTAGTTTTGCTGAACGGATATGAGTGAGTTCGAAGGGTTTTTGGTTGTTCGTGGATTCCAATGTTTATACCTGGGTTTGGAATAGTTTGGCAAAGAGCGATGCAGCTGCTGCTGTGAATCCTGCTGCAACACAAAATTCTCACCAGCAGATGCAAAGTTTTCCCCAACTCCAGCATCAACAACAACAACAGCAGCAGCAACAGCATCAGCAGCAGCAACAGCATCAACAGCAGCAGCAACAGCAGCAGCAGCAACAACAACAGCACCAACAACAACAACAACAACAACAACAACAACACCAACAACACCAACAACAACAACAACAGCAGCAGCAGCAGCAACAGCAACAGCAACAACAACAGCACCAACAACAACAACAACAGCAGCAGCAGCAGCATCAACAGCAGCAGCAGCAACAACAACAACAACAGCAACAACAACAACAACAACAACAGCAGCAGCAGCAACAACAACAACAACAGCAGCATCAGATGCAGATGCAGCAGAAGCAACACCAGATGCAACAACAAATGCAAAGGCAACAAATGCAACAGCAACAACATATGATGGGAGACGTGAAACAAGATTCACTTATGTCGTGTAACACAATTTCAAATTCGGATCAGATCCAGGTGTCGTCGAACATGAGTTTAAATGGGCAGATGGGACAGTTTTCTCCTCCTGGTCTGGATGGGAAGACAAATCTCAATAGCATGAACGCGAATACTGGAAACATGAATGACATGCGTGTTCAACAGGTTAGTTAGAGCTAAAATTCACGATAATCTTGATTATTGAATGCTGTGCCGATGCCTTGTATGTCGCAGCAGCAACAACACCAACAAATGCTATACATGGGCACACAATCGGTTGGCCAACAGAATGTTCCTGGTATTTCTCCGCAGATGGTTGACCAAAACCAACTTCAACCACAACGTTCTAGGCAGTCGGATGGATGGCCTCCAACGGTTGTGAGCGCGACTCAGTCCAGCCCGCTGCTTACGCAGCAGCTGAATCAGCCACCAACCACATCGCAGCCTTTCCTTGGAAATCAATCTGTGCGCGGTATGATGCCTCAAAATAATGTTAATGTGTCAAGTTCTGGTGCAACTGGACTCTCAGGACTCGCCACAAGTATGCCGAATGCGCAAGGTCAATTGCGACCTGGTCCAATCGGAGGCGGTGGGAATTCAAATCAAACAAGAAAGTTTATTTGGGATGGTCGGTTGGAATGGCTGGAGAAGAACAGGAATCCGAACGATAATCGAACTTCTAGAACTCTGCGATGTCAGGTGTCGTGTGCCCTGAGTGATCGCTTGGACGTGTAAGTGCAAAATTCTTCCTCCCACTTTTGTGAGAGTTTTTCTTTAATTTCTTGAGAGCTGAACTGAATTTCGATTACGATCGGGCCATCGTATCGTTTTACAGAAATGCGGAGCATTGGCCAGAGAAGTTGATCATGCAGCTCATTCCAAAGCAACTTGTCGGGACCCTTGGTACTCAATTTTTCAAAGAGTCAGTTTCTGTCCTTTTTCATCCGGAGCCATGTGCAGCGTTGGAGGCTCTTTCGAAAGTTATGGCACAGGGATTGGTGAGGATTACTTCATATTCACTTTAGATGTTGACATTTAGGTTTCTGCGTATATTCAAGGCTGGTTGTGTGCATTTTCAAACACCGCCAACAAGCCAATGTGAGATAAAGGTACTCATGCTGCTTTTGAGCGAAGAGCGTGGAGCATACGTTGGATTTATTCCGAATGACCAGACCGGTTTCGTTGAACGAATCCGTCATGTGATAAAACAACAGAGGATATCCCAAGCGAAAAGAACCGCAAGTTTTCCGCAGGTAAGGAGTCGTTGGGTAGAATTAAGGTTTTCTGAATGCGAAGTCTTCTCACTTATGTAAAGGGGGAAATGCCGCAGCAACAACAAATGGGGCAACAACTCGGCATGGCTAGTGGAAACGTACCGCAGAATCCTCCGCCGCAACAAGTAGTTCTGCAAAAAGCAGTCGATTCCGTTGATCAACAACCGAGCATGCAGCAAGGAATGCAGCAGCAAAGCATGCAGCAACAGCAGTTCATGCAGCAACAGCAACAACAAGCAGTGCGTATGCAGCAAGCTCGTCCAATGCGTCCACAAATGATGAACCAACAACCTCAGAAATATTCTGGAGCTGGACAGTCTAACCCTGGTCTGAGGAATCTCCTACAACAACAACAACAACAACAGCAGCAGCAGCAGCAGCAGCAGCAACAACAACAGCAACATCAGCAGCAGCAACAACAACAGCAGCAGCAGCAACAACAACAAATGATGCAACCTCAACAAGATATGCTTTCTGATCAGTTGCAGCAACCAGGCAGAAACCAATTTTACGTTCTCCAGCAAGGAGGCATTCGACAGTCCGTTCCACAACAGCCTGCAAACTCCATGTTTTCCCAGAATCAAGGCCAGCAAATGCAGCAGGACGGCCAGCGGCAGAGTCAATTACAAGCGCAGTTGCAAGGAATTATTGGTAATATTCATGGAAATGCTGTTAATCAAGACGACGAATTGTTCGAGATTTTTGGGAAGTTGTAATAGGGTTGTGCATTTTCCAAATAATTATTTGATTCTGATCAAAGTAAACAATGGTGAAACTGTATTTCTTTAATTGATAAAGGTATTCTGATTCCAGGCTCAATTTGTGATGGTCATTTCTTCGTCTTTTTTATTTAGATTAAAATTGAAGTATGTTTTAAATGTCTCAACTGATCGCGTACGCGGGTGAGGTGTCGGATGAAGCTCGACCGTGCTCACCAGAAACAGATGTAAAAATGGCGTCCGCCGATCCGCCGCCGGTGTTCAAGACGCCTGAAGTTGTACGGAGAACTTGTGAATCACCTGCTGTATTTCTCTCTCGACCTCAGTTCGAGTTACATGAAGTTGCTAGTCAGCTGTTCACGGGTGATAACCCAATGATGAGAAAAGCATTTTGCTCCGCAGCACCGGCATCGAAGAAGTGAGTGTCTTTCTGCCTTCACGGTTTTACGATGCGGTAGCCTCACGAAATACTGTGAGCGGTTGAGATCTCGTAGTTTCTAATAAGAGAATCCTTGAAAAAATTTTTATTTCCCGCTTTGAAGAATTTTCTTTCATCCTGTTTCTGAGAATGATAGTATAATACTGAAAGTTGTTTGAACGGCTCTATCGAATGCAAGTTTTTCAACCTTCTAGTAATTCATGTTGGTACGGTGTGTTTGTTTTAGTGGTTTAATTACCATTACGGGTGTAGCAGATATCTGTTTTCGGATTTCGGTCAGTTTTAAGCGTCTTTTGTATCTTCGTAGGTCTTTGGCAAGATCGTCATTGGCTAATACGAGAGCTGCGAAGTCCTCTCGAACATCGAATCTTGAATATGTACCATCATGGTCGGCGGTCAAGCCAAAGGAAAACGTACAAATCGGTGACGAATCAAGACTTGAGCAGGATTTCGTTGATGTGCAGCTTTTGGCCGTCGGGGAATTCGGTGTTGTGTATCGTGCACGACACCGAATTGACGGCTGTGTTTATGCTATCAAACGCAGCAAGAAGCCAATTACGCTTGAGTAAATGTTTCTACTGTTATGTAATTGTGAGGGTCCGCAGTTTATCATTCTGATGTAGTTTGACAATCCTATTGGGCTGTTTTTTAGAACACGATTCAATGCCACTCGAAGGATGAACCCTTACTTCTGCGGAAGCATAACTCTTCGTAATCAATAAATTCATGAATCGATTTGTGATGAAGCTTATTCTTACAAAAATGATTTCTTTTCGAAATGTTTTTTTCTTCCCTGCAGTAATTTTTTTATAGTTCTGTAATGAGGTGGAATTTCTTGTGCTAGTCCAAATTGCTATAGAACATTCAGTTTTTTTTCTTTTATCTTCGTAGCCGTGAATGCTTGAAAGAGGTTCAAGCCCACGCTTTGATTGACAATCATCCAAACGTGGTGCGTTACTACTCTTCATGGTGCGAAGATGGCTACGTTTACTTGCAAACAGAACTCTGCGGCGGAGGAAGTTTGAGGGCCGCCTTGAACGATGTGCAGGAACGAGCTTTAAACTCGCCGTTGCTTCGACGCCATCGCGTTGGAACTCGTGGAGGATTCAACGAAGCTATTGTGCTTGATGTTGGCCGTGACATGGTCCAAGCGCTTATGCACGTGCACAGGATGAACTTCGCTCACCTCGACATGAAACCGGACAACGTATTTTTGGATTCGGAATTCGACTGCTGTGGAAATGGAATTTTCCCATCTGTGTCACCCACCTCACTCATGAGCCTAGACTCGCCGAACTCCGTTTCTTCGACCTCATCTGTTTGTTCACAATCTATTACATACAAGCTTGGTGAGAGCGCGTATCACGTGGATCGTGTACCTTATATGTATTCGTTCGCATGAGTGTGTAAATTTTATTTCATTCTTTTTTCGCTGCAGGGGACTTCGGAAGAGCTTTGCCATTAAACGAAGAATGTATGGAAGAAGGTGATTGTCGGTACGTTTTAAGAATAATTTCGAATTTTCCGTGGTCAGTGTGAACCGAACTGCTGAATTATTTTTTAGATATACATCGTTAGAAGCTGTAGAGGGAAAGGCTACGGATTATTCCAAGGTGGACATCTACGCTCTTGGAATGATGATGTATGAGCTTGCTACGGGGGATCCGCTTCCGGGTACTGGAGAAGGTTGGAGAGCTTTGAGAACTACCGGATTGCCCAACGTTCCTGATTTTTCGAGAGGATTCAATAATTTTATTCAAGTAAGGTGGCTTTGTGTTGGAAACGGTTTTCCTTGCATCGAATGACGTCGGTTCCTTATTTTAGACATTGACGAATGCGTCGCCGGATAAACGTCCTTCGGCGGAGGAGGCCCTCGGCGCGCTAATGCGCCTGAAGCAGTCTCAACAACTCGCAACTAGCTTTAACACTCCTCCTAATAACAACTGTAAATCTAAATCGTGAGGACTATTGGGTTACTGGGCCGAATTTTTCCAAGGTTCTCTCTCGGGTTGAAAGAATAGTGTTGTCCTGTGTTCGGAAGAACATTTTCCAGAGTTTAGGCGTTTTCACGCCTGATTTTTCGCCTTTGACTGACCTCTCCTGACGTTTTTTCCCGAATTTGTGATAGCATGATAGATGCGTTAGAGGCATCTGATTGTTGAACGGGTCTTGCTGACGAAAGTTCACTTGTGATAGAATTTGTTTTTTACTGTTTTTTCCTGATTCTTGTGGGCTCCAAATTGTAAAACTTGATAAGTACTGTTGGCCAAATACAAGGCCTGCTTTTCATGAAAGCTTACGCTTAGTTTTGTGAACAAAAGATAATAGAATGCTCGAATGGTGTTGCACTGAGTGCAGCTGCATTAGTTGCAGTCTCGCTTCAGAGTCGATCTATATGAATTAACAGGAGGTTCACTGGTTGAAAGTTGAAACAGCATTCCTTCGACCTAACTGAATGTATCTATGACTACTTTCGCTTTTTATTTGGAGGTTCGATGTTATAATTCGGAGGTTTGATGTTATAATTCGTGATTTCGTGAATCTAGGAGTTCCAGAATCCCTAGGTTCCGAATTCTGGGTTGTCTTGAAATGCGATTAGGGATCATGATTGTTGAGTGTTTGTGGGGTTGTATGTGTGTTTGTTAGCATAAATTTTAAATTTTTTTTAGTTGTGTACGTGAGAATTTGTATTGTTCAGCAACAAAAAGAATTTTTCACGTGATGGAATCGGTGTTCTAATTATGACATGGAAATCGTATAATTTCTGCATGGTAGTAAAACTGTTCCAGACCAACTTAGAACACAGTTCATTTCCGCGTGAGAGGTGTTGTGATACATCGGCTGTATCTGAACACTCAATCATGGCTGGTGAGTAGCTTATAGATATATTTTTGCTTCTGAGTTCGCATTTAATCAATCTTTCTGTTGCACAGAACTTTCAAGTCGCATGACTGTGATCATCTCCGGCATCCTCAGTATCCTGATCTTGTCAGTCATGCAAATATACAAACCGTATCTAGCGGCGCACAAGTTAGGAACTTTGTTGGGAGGATTCGTCGGTTCCTTGTTGTTCATTTTGTCTCTAACTGTAAGCATCTTTTGTTTTCATCGTGATTCATTTTTTTATATCCGTTACGATTTCAGTGCTTTGGAAACCTTGAAATGGTCCTTCTCGGTGATAATTATCAAGCCGGCTTCTTACCCGAGGGTTAGTATGCGCACTTCACAACCAGAAAGTTAGCCTGAAAACTAAATTTTTTTTGCAGTTGCCTTCTGTTTGCTAGGATCAACTTTTGCCTCCGGTTTAATCCACCGAGTGTGTGCGACGACGTGCTTCATTTTCTCGTGCATTGCGCTGTATTATGTGAACAAAGTTTCTCATGACTCATATGGAATTCCGAGCACAGGAACTGCAGGTCTCAAGTTGTCGAAGAAAAAGAAGCAGTAGTGCGTGAAGACCGCTTCTCGTTGAGAGAACATTGTTTTTGTGTGTTGCGTGAACAAAATATATCATTCCGTTGAAGCGCTTCTCATTTGATTCCATAAAAATACTATTCAGGCTAATCTATGCATTTGTTTTCTTTCCAGGCGAAATAATGCTATCAAGTCTGGTAAAAATATGAACGCTATGCGAATAGGTCGCTCGGTTTTGCGGCATCGATTGATGCTCGCGAGCAATCCTAGGTTTCTAGCAAGAACTGAACATCAGGCAGCGCTGTCTAAATTTCGGGTTTGTACCGTTCGTCGTGAAACTTTCGTGCCAGTTAGGCTGTACTGCAGCCAGCGTGATCCACCGGAGTCAGGTGATGGAGACGCACCTGCTCCGTACGACGAAACGCCGCCAACATCAATTCATGCCCTCCCAGCAACGCAAACTGTTCCGGATGTTTGGCCCGTAGTACCCGTAATCGCGATTAACAGGAATCCGGTATTCCCAAGATTTATTAAGATCTTGGAGGTGAGTATGAACATTGCTCTTTAGCTTGTCCTTTGTTTCATCTCCGTCTTTGGCCAGATATCTGACAAGTCTCTCATGGAGATAATTCGGAGGAAGGTGAAGTTGAATCAACCGTACGCGGGGATTTTTATGAAGCGAGATGAAAAGTAATTACTACGCATGTTCTGTTTTTGTTTTTTGCTCCCGAGTAAACTGCTTTCTCATATTATAGTAACGATCAAGAAGTCGTTAAAAATCTTTCGGAGTTATACGAAATCGGATCATTCGTTCAAATCCATGAAATGCAAGATATGGGAGACAAATTGAGGATGATCGTAATGGCTCACCGACGCATTAGGATAACCGATCAAGTACTGGAAGATGCAATGCCAGAGGGAACAACGGGTGAGTTAATTTCATTCATTTTCTGGCCAAGGAAGAACATGCCTCTCTTCGCTTCGCTCAGAATTGAAGCTACGTTTTTATCCTTCTGGCCTCGGTCGAGCTACTCAACAGCATTCCTTCCTCGTTGAAGATTCGGGAAAAAATCAGCAAACTAAACCAGGGTTGAGGCATGCAAGACGATCGAGAACGAAGCGCGTTACGTCAGAATCAACAGCAGTCACTAACAACTCTGATATCCCTGCAGCTGATGGAACTGCATCAAATTTGCTTCCCGATGGTGTTCTCATGGTCAACACCGAAAACGTTCAACACGAACCTTTCAAGTTTACGGAAGAAGTCAAAGTATGACTCTAACCTGCCGTGATGGCCTTTGAGGAGTGTTCTGAATTACGATCTGTTCCAAAAACCAGGCTCTAACACAAGAAGTCATCAAGACCATCCGCGATATTATTGCCTTGAATCCGCTGTATCGTGAGAGTATTCAACAAATGTTGCATGGTGGTCAACGTATAGTCGACAATCCGGTCTACCTTTCGGATTTGGGCGCGGCATTGACCGGAGCAGAACCGCGGGAACTTCAAAGCGTCTTGGAAGAACAGAAAGTTTGTTTCCCATTCGGATGAATGCTGTAACCTATAGTTCAGCTTGTTGAATTTTAGATTCCAGAACGATTGATGTTGGCCTTGTCGTTGCTCAAGAAAGAGTATGAGCTTAGCAAGCTCCAACAAAAGATCGGCAAAGAAGTGGAGGAGAAAGTGAAGCAGCAGCACCGTAAATACATGCTTCATGAACAGCTCAAGGTGCGTTATACGAAAGATTGTTCTTTAAAAAATTCCTGCAGCGAATTTTGAACAGGTCATCAAAAAAGAACTAGGTTTGGAGAAAGATGACAAAGATGCAATTGAGGAAAAATTTCGTCAGCGCTTGAATGAAAAGAAAGTGCCGCAGGCTGTGATGGATGTCATAAATGAGGAACTTAGTAAATTAAGTTTTCTTGAGGGACATTCTTCGGAATTCAAGTAAGTTTTGTGCATCGACGTACCGGGGATCTTGCCTAAATGTCCCATGTTTTACGCAGCGTGACGAGGAATTACCTTGACTGGTTGACGTGCCTTCCTTGGGGAACATTGGGCGAAGAGAACTTGGATTTGGAACGTGCGCGTGTCATCTTAGAGGAAGATCATTACGGGATGGAAGAAGTCAAAAAGCGCATTTTGGGTTTGTGTTTTGCCTTTTCGTATCGCTAAATTTATGAAAATAAAACTAGAATCATCACAAAGGAAATTTGTTCATCAGTGTTCCACATGTTATTTATTTAGAATTTATCGCTGTTAGCAACTTGAAGGGAAGCACGCACGGAAAGATTCTCTGTTTCTACGGTCCCCCAGGAGTAGGAAAAACATCTATAGCACGCTCAATCGCCAGAGCTTTGAATAGAGAGGTAATTGTGAAGAGAATCCCGACCATGGCAGTCTGGGATTCGGTCAGGCGATGCTCAAAAACTTTTTCTTTTGATCTATACATTTTCAGTATTTCCGGTTTTCCGTCGGTGGTATGACTGATGTGGCTGAGATCAAGGGTCACCGGAGGACGTACGTCGGTGCTATGCCTGGAAAGATCATCCAATGTTTGAAGAAAACCAAGACAGAAAATCCATTAGTTTTGATCGATGAAGTGGACAAAATCGGAAGGTTTGTCGCGAATACGTTTGTTTTTTTCATCTTGAAAAGTGATTCATTATTATTATACACCTCCAAAAATATATAATAATTAATGATGAAGAACGGATAGTCAGTCATGGCAAACGGTGCATCGTCATCAAGCTTATCAAGTTTTTTATTCCTTTTTTTTAGAGGTTATCAAGGGGATCCCTCCTCCGCATTGCTAGAATTGCTAGATCCGGAACAAAATGCCAACTTCTTGGATCATTACTTGGACGTTCCTGTTGATCTTTCGAATGTAAGTTCCCCTCAGACGTGTCGATCATGCCTCTCTCTCTCTGCGAAGATAGAGATATAACCCAATATAAGTTCTACGATTGTTCTGAGATTTGTGATTTTCAAGTTGTTCTCTCCGGATGTTCCTTAGGTTCTGTTTATTTGTACTGCCAACGTGACAGACACCATCCCAGAACCCCTGCGTGACCGTATGGAAATGATCGACGTGTCAGGCTATGTTTCCCAGGAAAAGCTCGCCATAGCCCAGAAGTACCTTATACCGCAGGCGATGAAAATGACTGGCGTTGATGAAACGAAAATTCATATTTCTCAAACATCCCTCGAAACTCTGATTAAGGTATGAATTACAATCATTTTGAAAAATAGTGCGTAAGAAGAACTGAAATATGTTTTCTCCAGTCGTATGCCAGGGAAAGTGGCGTTCGAAACCTTCAGAAGTTGATAGAGAAGATCCTGCGGAAAGGTGCTTACAAATTAGTAATGAAGGAGTGCGAAACGTTGCAGGTGGACGATTCCAATCTGCAAGATTTGGTTGGGAAGCCAGTTTTCACTCATGATCGAATGTACGAACAAACCCCTCCAGGAGTTGTCATGGGTTTGGCTTGGACAGCCATGGGTAACTGTGCAATCAAGATACTGTACTCCTAAGTCGAGTTGCTACAAGTCTCACTTCTGTCTAGGCGGCTCGGTGTTATACATTGAATCTTGCTTGAAACGCGCTTTGAGCGACAAGGCCACTGACGGTAAACCTGTAATGGGTTCGTTAGAAGTTACTGGCAGACTCGGAGATGTTATGAAGGAATCTGTTCAAATTGCGTACACATATGCACGTGCTCTGATCTCTTCTGTCGATCCGTTGAATCACGTTCTTCAAGATGGGCATGTGCACGTTCACGTTCCAGAGGTGAGTTCGCTTTTTTTTTAGCCTTGTTCATCCAAACCTTTCTGGGCCCGAAGTAATGAAATATGTAATCTCTCTTCTCGGCTTCAGCGATCAGCTCGCATGAACTGTGTTGGGAAATAACTTTCTGCGTCTCTTATCAATCGGCCACTGGCTCTTGATTCTTTCGATCATTGCAAGCACAAAGTGTCATTGGGGATGGCGATTTTTTAAGCAAAACTCATTTTCATAGTGAAGACTAAGAGATCTAGAAAAAAATATTGATCAGAAACATCGCCTCAAGGAAGGAAGTGGGATTTGTGTTTCATATTTCTCTGGAGATCACCCTCGTTGAAAGAATAACTTTTTTATTCCGGAACCATTGATACAAGTATGCATTTGAAACAATTTTTAAGATTCCGAGCCGGTAGTTTTTTGTCACGTGCTTCTCCCAAATTTAAGCAAAATAGTACAGAACATGGAGATGTTCAGGATTTCAGCGGGTGGAATGTTATGGCTGGGCTTAGTTTAAGACTCGTTTGCCATCACCTGTGAACCGGATGTGTAACGGTGGTGATGCGCGAGCGGTAACAGCGTGATCTGCGGTTATTTGAAATTTGGTTTTTTCCCGTCAAATGTCAACTGTAGGGAGCAACACCCAAGGATGGCCCAAGTGCGGGATGCACAATAGTCACCGCTTTGCTGTCGCTTGCTTTTGGACAGCCCGTTGCCCAAAACTTGGCCATGACTGGAGAAATTTCGTTGACAGGGAAAGTTCTACCTGTTGGTGGGATCAAGGAGAAGATTATAGCGGTTAGTACGCACTTATATTTCCAATATACAGTATTAAGTACCGTAAGTACACTATACAGTATTATGTATAGGTATGATACGTTTATGTGTAGTGCAGTACAATACAATATTGTGTATGTATTACCAAATTTGGTGAGCTGTAAAATTCCCACGGAGTCTCAGATAGTAGAAAGTCTGTTAGAGTACTCTGGATACTGTATTCCATGTCATTTGTTTAATGGTGTAAAGCAATGGTGTTCAGTTCACTTGGAGAGAGTCCAAACCCGATTGGGGTTGATGATACAATGTGATTCAAATGAGGCCTTTCAGCCTGATGTTTTAATACATTTTGGCTGACCTTTCAGTCTGCCTAATACTAACCCAAATCCCAGGGGAACTCATGATGTAACATATATGCTGTAAAATATTTAAAAAATCAAGAAATGACCTCAATTTAAATGGGATGCGTTTCGCACAGTGAGCCTCCGAGAAAGTATACTTCATTTCTCCAGGCCCAAAGAGTTGGTGTGACCTATGTTATCCTCCCTGCGGATAACAAAAAGGACTTCAGCGATCTCCCGGCATTCATTCGGGAAGGGGTGACAGTGCATTTTGCCGAGCATTACCGAGACATTTATGACGCCGTTTTCAAGTCTCAGGAGTGTAAGGAGAAAGTGAGAACCTTTAGCTGATCCAGTCGGAGTCAGTCTTGTGATTCTGAGGGAATTGCAGTGCGTGCGATAGATTTACGGTGTCTCTTGTTGCTTCTTTCACGTCTTTTGAGGAGCGAACTATGACGATGCCACGGTTTCGAAATTCATGTTTTCATTGAAAATGAGCATTCATTTTTTCATTTAGGTGTGCCGTTGGTAAATAAATGATTCGCATGAAAAACTGGGAAGAATATAAAATCAGGGCCGGCTTAAGGCGGGTGCAGTGGGTTCACTGCACACGGAGAGAACAACTTGAAAATCACAAATCTCAGAACAATCGTAGAACTTATATTGGGTTATATCTCTATGGGGGGGGGGGGGGGGGGGGGGCGCAAAAATCAGCTCCAGGGTCGGGCCAAAATCAGGGCTGACCCTGGCAGTTGCAAGGGGGGTTTGTGCGCCTGTATGATGAGGCGCCAGGTGCCCCATCAGTCAGGCAAATTTGTTTACTTACAGAAATGGGGCAATGGATGAAAATGAGCAGTAGAACAGGAATTACAGTATGAATGATTACAAATCCTGAGTTTGCCCCCTCCACAAAATTTAGTGCTCCCTGCTCAGGATGGGGCACACTGCAATGTCTGTGACTGCACTGTAATGGGCCAATCCCTGGCATAAAAATTTCACCACTTTATGCCAGGGCTTGGAATCATGGAATTTTTTTTTTTAAATAATGAACCACTCTCTGCATCATCATAAGTTTTCTTGAGAGCTTCATTTGGAGTGGAGTGCTGTACATTTTGTAGAGATTTCTGCTGGGGTGTAGAAACTTGTTTGCATATTGCTGAACTATGGAAAAATGTAGCTTTTTATTTTTGAGGCAAATCATTCATGAAATATTTCAACAGAAATTCTACAAGGATTTTGCTTAGGAATTTCCAGTCTCCCCCTAGGCTGACTGAATTGTTTCATTTAATTTCATTTTCCTCTGAAATTTCAATCATTTCAAATTCTTTATTGTATATAATTTATAATTTGTGTTGTGGCAATTTATTCCCCAGCAGCAAACATCATTTTCAAATCACAGCTTAGTTTAATATTCTTATAAAGCCCAATTTGCAGGATTATTATATTAAAACTTGAAATAATTTCACTAGTTTGTGCATTTCAGCTGAAAATGTATCAAAGAAAGCATCTGGTGCCCAAATCAAAAAAGAAAAGCTGCTCGTGCCACAAAACTGTGAAATGTTCTTGAAAACAGTTTGAAAATTCAACTTTGAAGCCATTGTCAAATACAAGATGGGAAAGTAGGACTGATGCCATTAGACCTTGAAAATTCGAAATAAGATAAATTTTGAAGGCTCTTGGAGATTCATCTGCAGATCCCTCTAAAGATATGGATACAAGACTTGAAGCTATCTCATTGATACTAATATTAGCAAGTTTAAGTTTCTGTGCTGCCTTTTTGTGTTGCATGATATCCGGAATAAAATTAATGTTGCTAGCAAAATTTTGTGAAGAGAAGACTCCAACTTCTTCAGAGCTCTTGCAAATTTGAAACAACTGGAAGAATTGTCGACTGATTTTAGGTGAGACCAATCCTTTGATACAACAATTCATAGTGCAACTGTAAGAGATGAAGAATTGGACATTGAATCCCCATTTAATGAAAATTCAGAAAAATAAGATATTATTTTGACTAGGAGTCAGAAGACAATTTTGTTACAGAGGCTAAGTCAACATTCAAAACATCTCTTATTATTGATTCTGCACTTATGTCAATTAGGGAAAGATTTAAACTGATGAAAAACTAAAACACTTCCGAAGTTTTATCTCAGATAAATGAGCTTTCTCATTGGATAGATGATGAAATCCTTGGTGATTCCAAAATAATGGAGGAAAAGTTGATCAATGACATGTTTTTGGAGAAGAAAATGTCAGCAAAAGAAGTACTGAATTTCATTCACAATGATAATCTTTTTAATAATCTTATTAATTTCCTATAATACTGCAATTTTAATCAGAATTTTCTTGATGCTGCAAATAACTGTTGCATCTTCAGAAAGAAGTTTTTTCAAAATTGAAAATCATACAGGTGAATCTTGATAACTCAAACCTCCCTAAGTTGATTTTTTTTCATATCCCCATCGGAATCCCCTTAAAAACAATAGCTTGAAAACCTCCCCAAGTCAAAAGTTTTTCCTTCAAACCTCCATAAGTCAAATTTTCTGTGGCCTGTTGGCCATTATTTTCTTCTCTCAAGAAAGAAAAAAACAGGACTAGGTTGGTAGGTTTCTTGTTTGGTTGGGTGGTACAGCAGGTAGCACTCAAGGTGATGATTGAAATGACTCACATTTACAGCAAAGCGTTTTGACAGCTATCACATTTATAAGCAGTCACCAACATCGAAGAATATACTTTGTTAGTTATGTACTGTAGTGTGCGTGTGTTTAGTGTTCGTGGGTCAACGTAGGTCGATCCGGTGTTAACTTCTCGGCAAAGAAAGAAGTACAACGTATTAACAAACTACTCGATTGTGCCCATGACTTCCATGGATTTTTCAAAACCAAAAACTTTGCCATCTTTGCAAAGCTGGATTGAATAGCATGCACGTTCTGAAGATTCCCCCCGAGGATTGTGCCGCAATCATGGCACTGCTGAATTTGTGGAAGATTGCCTCTCTTCTAACTTGGAAAGGTTTGTAAGTGATTTGTTCCGTGTATTGAAATGTAACGTAAGTGAACGTTCAAAGAACATTAATCAGCCTTGGTTCGTACCTGACCACCTTGTTAGACATTTATCTTGACTTTTCTCTCTCTCTCGGAGAGAGACAAAAAAGACAAAAAAATGCTCGTTAGTTTCCACTGTTGTTTGGTAACACATTCATATTCAAAAATTGTTCAGTGTACCAGCAGTGCTGCTGGTACACTGAACAATTTTTCAAGCCTTCTAAAACAGAAGGCTTGATCCTTGGATGCTGAAAAAAGCTGCCATGGGAATATTTTACTACTTTCGGTATATCTTAGTTATACAGGATCAATATTCTGTCTGAGAAACTCAAGATCTAACTGCAATAACAGATTTATTGCAGTTAGATCATGAAGTGTTGTGAGATAATAGCCCACTAGAATGCCAAGAGAGGCTGCTGGTATATCTCTCATTGGTACGCTGCAGTACTACCTTATCTTGCAGAAAAAATATTTGGATTTGAAAACCACAATTACAATAAAATGAGCCAACAATTTAAAAATGGCTCATTTGGAATCATGCGCAGAAGTAGAAGAATCATCCTCCCCCATCCTGTAATGCCAAGATTAACCAATAATTGAAGCTGCAGATCGTCTGACCTTAGATTAGAGAAATTCGCGATGTATTGACACAGTCTAAACGTCGTTTTTGCATGAGGATCCTCTAAATTTGTTTGAGCTCGGTGTGGAACAAATGCTACAATGCTGGAGTCCACTCACTTGTGATCTTGAAAGGCCTGATGCTTGTTAAACCCCTTGTCGCACACCTGACAGTGATACATTACAGTTGGAGAATTCTCTTTGTGAGACCTCTCATGAATCATGAGGTTGTAAACCTTGCCGAACTGTCGCTGACAAAAGCGACACTCGTATGTGGGGCTATGGCTGTGCGAGGAGCGCAAACGCGACTTCTTGCCTGCTCGTAATTTCCCGTCTGCCATTTCGATCACTTGGAAAAAAATTTCGAGAGGATCTCTGAACCGTATGGACTTGCGGCCAAAAACCAACTGTGGCTGCGCCTGCGCGGATTTCAGGCAATATAGCCACGCGGACGGCGGTATGGCACAGGACCGTGGCGATGATGGAACAGGCTCCTCCCCCGAATGACCTGTTCAATGGGGGGTCGCATCTGGTCAAGAAGGGCAAAAGCTGGCTTGATTATGCAGGCTTTTATCGCCCATTAGGAGACAAACCGGGCTTGATGATGCCCGGGCTAGCCGCAGACATTTGTAAGTGTCTTGGACCTGATTGAATCTGGGCTGCTGAAAGGCATTTGACTCGCCGTCACTTGGAGTGACTTAATCGCGGTATGCTTTGATCGACGGTGGCGTGGCTGATGCCTCAATCAACACCAGCATTCCCTTTCCCTGACCGAATTAAGGGTGCTTCATCAATTGAATTCCCAAGGCTGACCCTGGTGTATGGGTGGCGCCTATATGCGCAAGAACACATTTAGCGACCCCCTAAAATGCTTACATACTTCCTAATGTAAAATGATCAATAAATTCATATTGTGCAATGGCGCCTATAGTTTGTTCCCCAGATAAAATTGGATGCATAAATAAATTAGTCCGTTGACGTAATTTTATAATGTACGATATAAAAGAGACACTTTTAATAAAAACCCAATCAATGTCAAACAAAGTTGTTATAAAATGACCATGTCATAAAGTTCAAAACAGAGTAAGACAAAAGAGGATGGCCTTTGTATTACAATGAACATGACTTCATGAGCCAATCTCAGGATTCGAAATATAAAGTTCGAGTTGTCAGCCATTAGTCTATGAGGAAAGTTCGGAAAACATATGTACGATTCATGAATCATGATTGAGATCTTCTGTTATATTAATATTTCCTGCACTCTCAAATGCAAGAAGTGGCCGAGAAACCTACTATGATCAGCAAGTCCTCTACAGTCTACACTACATTATCATAAATCATAGTACACCAATTACATGATGGGCCTAAGTAGAAGCATGATAGAAAGTTTATACCGTATTTATTTTTCACATGGAAGCAAGCTGTTTTGATGAACAGGTCAATGCATCAAGATTTGAGATACAATATGTTTTTTCAGCTTCAAAGTTCTGACTTTCAACACGGATAATGACGAGGAGCTTCATTCAATATGATGCAGCAGAAGTGTTATTGTTCTCAATATATATACTTCTGGTACCCATCAGTTAATCTACTCCTGAGAGGTGGATTTTTTTTAGAGTGAATGTGAGTTAAATGCATGCATCACAAGAAGTCATTGTATGCTTCAGCTTGTGAAACAAATTAAAATTGCAAGTGCGTGGGACATCCATTGAGATTGGGGATTCATTTTATTCTTATACAGTAGCTTGCAATTGTGACTTCTGGCAAATTGTAATTCGACAGATTCATTTTCAGTTATAATTAAAAATCCTGCTATAATGTGTAAGATGCCCTGT